CAGCACAGCACCGCCGCACGCACCACACACGTCGTACATGAGACATGGCACATGGTACACAACACAGTGCAAATGACACACAGGAAGGACAACGTCGGATGCATCCTTTATTGAAACAAAAGTACACCCAAGCTCACACACACCTGCATGCGCATGCCTGGCGCCTGTACTTCACACCATCCCCACACAAAACCCCATCTTCACCCGCACCACAACCCCCCCCATATCCCTCCCAGCACTGACCTGGGCGCTGATCTCAACGCGGCCGGAGGCGAGGTGGCGCACGGGGTGGTTGCCGCCGTGGTGGCCGAACTTGAGCTTGAAGGTGCGGCCGCCCAGCGCCTGCCCCAGCAGCTGGTGCCCCATGCAGATGCCCAGCGCCGGCACCGTGCCCACCACCGCCCGCACACTCTCCACCGCGTACGGCACGGCCGACGGGTCGCCCGGCCCGTTGCTGCACGTTGGCAGGGGAGCGGAGGGCGGTGGAGCAGAGGTGGAGGGGGGTGGTGGTGAGAGTGACGAGGAGTGCGATTGGGCGAGGGTGAGGAAGAGAAGGCAGGCGGGAGACGAAGGGCACGGATACGAGGGAGGGCGCGAGAGGCAGGTGGTGGGGAAAGCAGGGAGCGCACCTGAAGAGGACGCCGTCGGGGTTGAGCTTGGCGAGGTCCTCAGGCGGGTAGGTGGAGGGCACGACTGTGATGCGACAGCCGTACGACGCCAGGCGGCGCAGAATGTTGTGCTTTATGCCAAAGTCGTACGCCACCACCTGGGGGGGTAGCGGGGGGGATGGGGGGTGTGATGCATGCAGGAGATGAGCTGACTCTCATGAAAGGCGTTGACTCACGTGGAAGGCGTTGACTCACATGGAAGGCGTTGACTCACGTGGAAGGCGTTGACTTGACTCACGTGGAAGGCGTTGACTTGACTCACGTGGAAGGCGTTGACTTGACTCACGTGGAAGGCGTTGACTTGACTCACGTGGAAGGCGTTGACTTGACTCACGTGGAAGGCGTTGACTTGACTCACGTGGAAGGCGTTGACTTGACTCACGTGGAAGGCGTTGACTTGACTCACGTGGAAGGCGTTGACTTGACTCACGTGGAAGGCGTTGACTTGACTCACGTGGAAGGCGTTGACTTGACTCACGTGGAAGGCGTTGACTTGACTCACGTGGAAGGCGTTGACTCACATGAAAGGCGTTGACTTGACTCACATGGAATGCGTTGACTCACATGGAAGGCGTTGGCCATGGAGACGTCCTTGGCGTCGCTGCTGAACTCCCACTCGCCCGTGGGATCCACCCACACGTACGGCTGCTCACACGTCACCCCCGTTATCAGGTCCTTGCCTGTGCGCCCACGCACACATGCACACACATGCATAAGCACACACCAAGGCACAGAGCGAGGACATTGCACTCAGCTGTTCCATGCTTTATATGCCCCGTGTGCCATGAGTGCATACTGCCATAAGTGCATGCTGCCATGCCACGAGGTGCGTGCTGCCATGCCACGAGGTGCGTGCTGCCATGCCACGAGGTGCGTGCTGCCATGCCACGAGGTGCGTGCATGCTACCATCACCAATGGAGGGGCGGCTCACCAACGATGCTGTAGGCTCACCAACGATGCTGTAGGCTCACCAACGATGCTGTAGGCTCACCAACGATGCTGTAGGCTCACCAACGATGCTGTAGGAGCGCGCCATCTCCACCAGCTCCTCGTCCGACTTCTTGCGGTCCGTGGAGATCACACCTGCCACCGCCACCACGCACATGGTCACACGCACATAGAGGTCGCATTGTTACAAGGCAGTACGGCACCACAATGTATCCATGCGCATCATGCAAAGAGCACCACCAAACCTTATGCTTCACGCACCATGAACCATGCAACACCCACCACACACCATGCATGTGTTGCTGTCTTGCAAATTGTGCATCATGCACCATGCACCCTCCATCCTGCCCCCTCTAACAGCTCAAGCTGCCCCTCTCACCGTTCAAGCTGCCCCTCTCACCGTTCAATTCAAGCTGCCCCTCTCACCGTTCAAGCTGCCCCTCTCACCGTTCAAGCTGCCCCTCTCACCGTTCAAGCTGCCCCTCTCACCGTTCAAGCTGCCCCTCTCACCGTTCAGGCTGCCCTTGTCGCGCAGTCGCTTGGTGATGGCGCGCGTGTCGATGTCCGCTGCACGGGGGTTGAAGGGTTGGGGGTGGGGTTGGAGAATTGAAGGATAGGGAATGGATATGGTGGTTAGGGGGCGTAGGGATGAATGACGGTAACGGATGGTGAGGTGTGGGTGCGGGCAAGTGGCACGTGATAACGAGTGCTGGCTGCCCCTCACTACCTCTTCCTCCCTCCCTCACCCCCCTCGGCGTCACTCACAGATGCCCATCATGTTGTGTTGCCGCAGGTAGTCGGGCAGAGTCTGCGACGACCGCCAGTTCGACACGCTGGGGAGCGCCGAGGGGACGAGCGCGGGAGGGGCAAGGGGAACAGGGGGCGGGGCGGGAGCAGAAGGCGTCGGTCCGCTGCATTGCGCGGTACAACGGCGAATGCGACTGTTGGCGTATGAGGCTGCGCCTGCATTTAAATGTGCGCCTGTGGAAATCTGCCTGTCGGCGTGTGACTGTGGGAATGTGCCTGGGGGAATGTGAATGTGGGAATGTGACTGTGGGAATGTGACTGTTTGAATGTGACTGTGGGAATGTGACTGTGGGAATGTGACTGTGGGAATGTGACTGTGGGAATGTGACTGTGGGAATGTGACTGTGGGAATGTGACTGTGGGAGTGCACTGCATTGGAATTGCGTAGCTTGAAACGCGCGCGCGCACACACAACACACACACCAACATTCCCCCCCCCTCCCATCCCCCCCTCCCACCCCCTCCCCCCACACCCCCACACAGCACAGCGGCGACGGCGCGGCACGGGGAAGGCGGCTCACCAGTTGCTGATGCTGCGCACGACGAGCCCCGACGTGAAGCACGTGCGCGACTCCTCGTCCTCTGCGCGCCACCGCGGCGATGGGGGGAAGGAGGAGCGGGGAAAGGAGAGGACAGGGGAGAAGGGAGTGTAAGGGGGCGGGACGCGGGATGTGCGCGATGATCGCCGGCGCAGTGACGACACGGGCGAGCGAGGAACAGGGGGAAAGGTAGACAGACAGGGACGGGTGGGGGAGGAGCAGGAGCAGAAAAACGGTTGGGGGGCGCGGGGAGCGGGCGGACCTTCATTGATGCCGGTGTTGCCGATGTGCGGGCAGGTCATTAGCACGATCTGGCCGGCGTAGCTGGGGTCGGTGATGATCTCCTGGTACCCCGTCAGCGACGTGTTGAACACCACCTCCGCCGCCTGCGTCCCGCGCGCGCCGAACGACGACCCCTTCCACACCGACCCGTCCTCCAGCGCCAGCCGCGCGTCCGCCGCCCGCCACGGCCGCTCCACGTCCGCCGCTGCTCCGCGCACCGGGGGGAAGGGGGAGTGGGGTGGGGGGAGGTGAGTACGGGTGCAGGAGAGGAGGTCCGAAGGCGGTGGGGAAGGGGATGATGACGTTCGCGGGGAAGGGGGTTTCTTGGGAACCGCGGTGGTATCGTCAGACATGGCAGCGCGCTTCGAGGATGGCTGTCATGCCCCCTCGCGACGATCAGCCAACAATGCGGGCGCGATCTTTAGACGCGCGCGCCACTTACGATTAGGCGGCTGAAGGGTGCAACGAGCAAGAAGCAGCGAACGATGAGTCACTGATGCTGGCGGAGATGGAGGTGCAAATGGTGAGTTCTTGTGGATCGCAGCGACTCACCGGCGCTGGCACGAACTACGGTCACTGAACCCGCGCGCTTGGATGGCGCAGCGACGCCCTTCGCTTTGGCGCCGGCCCCCAGGGACTGCCCCAGCTGCGCGGAGGCGCACCACCCCAGCGCCGCCTGCTTGCCGCCACATTCGCTGGCCTTGATGGCGTCCCCCGCCCTAGCGACGGGCGCGAGGCCTGGCTGCGCCAGGTGAAGCGCGCTTAGTTTGACAGCCGCCATGGCGCCGATCGGATCGAGCGACGAGGAGGATCGGAAGACGAGGGCGAGTGAAGGTATTCGCACACTGCGCTCCCTTGGTTTGCTGCAGCGATCGCAGATGAAGTCTCAAGGAATATGATGATGTGCGTCGTGATCACGCCACAAGCAGCTGTTATTTGCCTTGTGTTGCTCTCGGCAATGGTGGGAGCTTCAACACACACAAATGCTCTCGTGAGAGGGGCGACTGGAATGGGTGTGGGGGAGGAAATGCGCGGGTTCTGGGGGGACTTCCACTCTCACTGACTAACCACGTGACGCTGATTTGGCAGCGCTGACTAGGAAACGGCGCCGGTTGGTCCCTTGGTTGGAATCTGAGGTAAGAGCAAGGCCGCAGAAAGCAACGCGTGGCAGTGAACCATGAAAAAACAACCAATCATATGCGATGGGCAGCCGAACTGTGAGGTGCGTTTCGGGCAAAGGGAAAAATGGCGCAATACACCGCCGCAAAAACATTTTCCCTTCCCCTGAAACTGTGGGCAGGGCAGGAGTGCCCGTAGTTCCCCTTCGGCCACAATTTCAAGGTATGAAGCGAATGGGGTGTGGAGACTGACTTCCCCCATCAAAGCTGGGTGAAGCGAGGAATGACAGCAAAATGTTACACCAAACCTGCAAGTCGTCACCGTCGCTACACGTTACTCCATCGCTATTTTACAGCGCTATTCGCCGCAGTTAGCAAACGCGAACTTGATGTGCTTGGAAGGGGTCCTTGGAGCCCACCAGCTGTACACATAGGTCTAGAGGAGTTGCGAGTTGTAAGAACTCATCGAGTTATGTGTACATCTTGTTATCGCATCCTTGTGGATTTTATCGAGTATAACTCAAGTGGGAACCGTTAGAAGCCGTCCTTATTCGCAAAACTACTGTGGACAAGCAGATGGAACAAATCTTGAAGGCGCGTAAACACCAGCAGCTGCGACAGTAGACCAAGGCGCGCGATGCGGGAAGTAGTGACGCTTCAGTTCGGCAGCTACGCCAACTTCGTCGGCGCTCACTTCTGGAACCTGCAGGTGCGCCTTCCACCATGCGCCATGCCTCCTTCATTGCGCCCATGCCTCCCCGATTGCGCCTCCCCAATTTTCTGAAACCCCGCCGTCGGCGCATCTTCACGCCCTCCATGCGTTCGTCCCCCCGTTCCTCCTCTTTTAGCTCGTCCTTCAAGCCCCACCCAGGCCGTCCTTCAAGCCCCACCCAGGCCGTCCTTCAAGCCCCACCCAGGCCCTCCTTCAAGCCCCACCCAGGCCCTCCTTCAAGCCCCACCCAGGCCGTCCTTCAAGCCCCACCCAGGCCGTCCTTCAAGCCCCACCCAGGCCCTCCTTCAAGCCCCACCCAGGCCCTCCTTCAAGCCCCACCCAGGCCCTCCTTCAAGCCCCACCCAGGCCGTCCTTCAAGCCCCACCCAGGCCCTCCTTCAAGCCCCACCCAGGCCCTCCTTCAAGCCCCACCCAGGCCCTCCTTCAAGCCCCACCCAGGCCCTCCTTCAAGCCCCACCCAGGCCCTCTTTTCCCCAATTACCCTTCCTCGCGCGCCTCTCTCTCGGCCTCCTGGTGTGCGCCGTATCCGCGCGAGCATCGTCGTCCAACCTCCCAATCTCACACCCCGCGCCCCCTTCCCCCACGTGCCTCCGTCCTAGCTACCTTCTCGGAGAACCGACCGGACCTTCTCCCCTCCCCCTCCCCCTCCCCCCTCCCCCTCCCGCCTCCCCCCTCGCCCCACTCCTTGCGTCGCGTCCAAGCCTGCAGTGAACTTTCGTTCCCTTATCAACGCACCGCTTTCCCCCCCCACGCCACTTGCTCTTCTTCCCCCTTCCTTGCAGGATGAGGCGGTGGGGCGGCAGGGAGAGGGGGGCGCGGAGCAGAATGGAGCAGGCGTGGAGGAGAGCGTGGTGATGCAGTGGCGCGAGACGCCAGGGCCTGCCGTACGCCGTGGGTGGGCGGGATGTGGGGTGGCGGGAGGGAGGGCGGTGGGCATGGCGGCAGGGGAGGGTGGTGGGGTTGTGGATAAGCAGAGGGGCGTATGATTGCGTAGGGGGTTGTCAAGGCAATTTTCTCTCTGCGCTCCTGGTGCGCTCTCAATCCGCCCTCCCTCTAGTCATCTCACCAACGCCCTCTCCCGTCCATCCATCCCCCTCACTCTGTACTCTCCCGTGCCGCTCGCTCGCCTTACTCTCTCGCCTCGCTCTCTGTACTCCATCATTCCCTCCCTCACCCCTCCCCCTTGCGCACCCTCCCCCTCAGTCCACGCCGTACTGCACGCCGCGCCTGCTCGCCATGGACTACAAAGGTGCGCTCCGCCCCTTGTGTTGCACACCGTCATGCCCATCCTTCTTCCCACCATCCTTCTTTCTACTCTTCCACGTATCCCTCTTGTGCCCCGACTTCTCGTTTCTGTTCATCAGTTTCCACCTGCCCTGCACCCTTCATTACGTCAATTCCCTGCATCGCCCCAACGCTCTCCGACTGCGCTTCTCTTTTGTGTGCTGCAGGCTGCCTTGGCCCCGTCTCCCTCGCCTCGCCTCTCCATGCCCATGGGGGCATCGCCGCTGCACCGTCTGCCATGCCTACCTGGTGAGCCCGCCTACTCACGCTCTGTGCTCCTCCCCCATGCACGTGCATGCCTGTCATGCCCCCTGCAACCACACGACCCCGCCCACCTCCATTCACCACCTGCTTCGCCCGCGCCTCTGCTTCTCTCTTCCCCTCTCTTTCTCACGCCCCCCATTCGCACATCCCCTCCCCTCACGCCACACGCCTTGACCCCCTTTCTCCCCCCTTTCAACAGGTCCGGCCCGTCCCATGTCTCATCGGCCGCGCCTCTCCCCCTCAACCCCTTCCTGCGCCGTCTGCTGCACCCGCCCCCACCCGCCGCTCACACCACCTCCTCCGCGCCTGGCGCCCAGGCCAGGGGGGAGGAATGGCACGGGGCTGCGGGCAGGCACGGTGGGGGGGAGCTGGGAGAGGAGGCAGAGGGGGAGGCGGAAGGGGAGGAAGGGGAAGAGGAGGACGCGGAGGTGGCGCGGGGCCTGGAGGGCGGCGTGGGGTACTGGACAGAGTACCTTAAAGCCCACGTGCGCCCCGCCAGTGTGGTGCAGGTGCCGGGCGGGTGGTGGCAGGGCGCGCTCTCCCCCCTGGACGCGGGGGGGTATGGCGACTGGCGCGAGGTGGGGGGCGGGCGGGAGGGAGAGGAGGAGGTGGAGGAGGGGGTGCGGCGGGTGGTGGAGGAGTGTGATGCGCTGCAGGGCTTCTCGCTGCTGCTGCACGCCGCCTCGCCCTTTGCCTCCCTCGCCACGCGTACCGCACTGCACCTGGCCGCGGAGTTCCCAAGGGCGCCCAAGCTGCTCTTCTCCCTGCGCCCCCCCGACGCCCTCCTCCCGCCCGCCACCCTCTCCCCTGGACCCCACGCCCTGCCCGGCACGCCCTCGCTGCACGACCTCTCCTCTGCCGTCTCCCTCGCCTCGCTGCTGCCCCTCACCTCCCTCATTCTGCCCCTTGGCCTGCCCTCCCTCTCCGGTGCGTGCCCCTGCTGCCCTGCTGGCGTGCTGGTCTGCTTGTGCCTGCGGCGCTTTCCGCTGCTGCTGCGCGCTTTTATTTCCACGCACAAAGCCCCCCCCTCCCAACACACCCTCCACATAAGCGTGCGTTTTGTCTGAGATGCCGGATGTCGCCACACCTCTCTCGTTCCACCCACCACCCGCCCACCTGTGTCAAGCACTCACCCCTGCACCCTGCCCCATCCCTCCACCAACTCCACCAGGTGTGCTGCCCCACGTGCATGCCAGCGACACCGCTCTCTTCCACTCCTCTGCTCTGCTCGCCACCGCCATCGACGCCCTCTCCTCGCCCTTCCGCCTCGCCCCGCGCGCCCCATCCTGCGCCTCCTCCCCCGTGGGCGCCGTGTCCCTCAGGGACTACTGCGCCCTGCTCTCCCTCTCCTCGCCCCATGGCGCCCTCGCTTTCGCCTCCTTGGCCCTGCCGGCTCAGCCGCTGCACGAGGCAGGGGAGCAGGAGGCGGCGAGTGGAAGCTCGCCATGTGGCATGGCTGTGCTGACGTCAGACGTGTGCAGCAGCGGAGAGGGGCGAGGAGGGAGGGGAGGAGGCAGTAGGGGAGGGCAGCGAGGCGAGGGGATGGGGCAGCAGCAGGAGGGGGAGGAGGTGGAGGATTTGGAAGCAGGCATTCGAGCACAGGTGGTGGTGGCACGTGGCGCAGTGGGGCAGCAAGCTACAGGTGCGGAGGGTGGGTGGGAGTGGGGGTGAGGGTGGGTATGGATGCGAGGTAGTGAGGAGAGACTGCTGGCAGTGAAGAGGGAAGATCAAAGTATGATGGGGGTTGGAGGGGGGATGGTGAGAGCAAGTGTGGGTGGTGCATGGGCAGGGCACATGAGTGTGCTGTGCATCCCTCGCTCACTGCACCTCCTCATCTTCATTCACTGCACCTCCTCATCTTCATTCACTGCACCCCCCTTTTCCCCTCCCTTCTCCCCTCCCCTTTCCCCTCCCTTCTCCCCTCCCTTCTCCCCTCCCCTCTCCCCTCCCCTCTCCCCTCCCTTTTCCCGCCCTCCCACATGCCCACAGGCCCCACCAGCACTGTCCCCACACCGCTACCACCAGCGGCGGCAGCAGCAGCCATCCACCGGGCACTCCTCGCCGCCCGCCCTCGTGCTCCTCCCTGCATTGCCCACATCGCCGCTGCCCAGCAGCCCCTCGCCATTCCCCTGCCCTTTCCTCGGTTCTTCTCCGCTGACATCAGCAAATACGGCCTCATCCTGCCGCCCTCCCGGCACCGTGCCAGCCACGTTGCTTCCCTGGCGGGCGGGGTAGCAGCAGCAGCGGCGGGTGGAGTGGGAGGAGGGGGGTGGGGAGGCGGGAATGGGGTGGGAATGGGACCGGATGTGGAGTGGGTGCCAGTGGTGGCGCGGGCAGCAGCGGGGAGGGGTGGGGCGCGGCACGGGGAGGTGCTTGCCGGTGCTCTGGAGTGGGTGGGGGGCCCTCGAGGAGGGGCAGGCAGGCAGGTGGTGGCGGCATGGGGGGTGGAGGGCGAGGAGGTGCATGAGATGCGCGAGCGCGTGCTGGATGTGGCGGCTGAGAGGGGGGAGCTATGAGGATGACAGTGACTGACGCGTTGTGTGTGTGCGGCATTCACATGGCACCACGCATCGGATCAGTGCGCCAGGTGCTCAAGGATACCGTATGCCATGCCATGGTTCATTGCATTGCATGCTCTGTGTGTTGGTGAACCCTCATGTGCAAGTATAGAGCCAGGCTCTCACGGTTTCAACACATGTTGTTCTAGCAAGTGTAGTGGCCTAACAGAGCTCAGCAATACTCATACAGAACAGCAGCACTCCTCCAGACTAGTGTCAATGAAGCTTGTCTGTCCGCTATTGCACAGCCGCACTCTGCCTCTTGCTGCCACAGCAGCCGCTGTGTCCTGCTGCCCCTCCACTGTCCTCACCCACCGCACTGCCCTCCCTCCACCTGCAACACCTCCTCACCGTGCGTGCCCTCACTCCCAGTCGTCCACATCAATCTCCTCTTCCTCCTCCTCGCTGTCAGGTGGCAGCAGCGCCAGCACCACTCGCCCCACCACAGCCTCCCCTGCCCCCGACCCATACCGCTCCGCCACCTCCCCCCCCGCCACCACCACCAGCCCCCTCTCCCCGCCCCTCTCCGCGTCCCTCACCACATAGTAGTGCCCGCCCTCCACCGCGCTCCCCTCCCCCCACGCGCCCTGCACCACCACCAGCACCGCGCCATCCCCCTGCCGCGCCTGCAGGGGCGGCAGCAGGGAGGGCGAGGGCAGCAGCAGCGCCAGCAGCGCGGGCACGCCCCGCAGGGCGGGCCACGACGGCAGCGCCACCCACGGCAGCCCGGGCGCGGGGGAGAAGAGGCGGAAGGGGCCCTGCGGGGGGGGCAGCGCGGGCAGGTGCTGCAGGTCCGCGGCGCAGGTCACCACGGGCATGGGCGTCGCCTGGGTCTCAGCGCTGCGCAGCCGCGCCACTGGCAGAGAGGGGGGAGTGGCGGTGGCGGCGGCACCGGGGCCAGTGGCGTGGGCGGCGGCGTGGGCGGGCGGTGCGGCGTCGGGGTTGCGGCAGCGGTGCAGAGCGGTGGAGATGAAGGCCCGGGCGGCGTCGGTCGTAGCCACCTGCTCCGCCCTCACCAGCGCCGCTTCGCGCTCGGCGCGGCTCCTCGCCTCCCCGCTCTGGCGGTACGAGGCGAACGCCAGACAGTCTCCCGGCTCCGCACTGTGGCGCGCGATATGGAAGGGGGAAGGGGGGAGGGAGAGAGTGGGGAAGGGGTGGTTGGGGAAGGGGGATGGGCAAAGGGGAATGTGATGGGAAGGGCAAGGCGAGGTGAGTAGGGGACTGGGCCAGAGGGTTGGGTGAGGAGACTGTGAGGGGTAGGTGAAAAGGGGGAGTGAGAGAGGACGAGGTCAAGGCAGAACAAGGGCGGATATCGCATGGCTTGGGTTTTGCGCCAGAATCGACCGTGCGCGGCGCCAGCACGGCCTGCCCACCTGAAGTGGCTGCGGTCCGCCTCTCGCTTGCGCCGCTCGTACTCCTTGATGGCGCGCGCCACGTCCCGCGCGCCCTTCCCGTCCAGCCCCTCGCGCGCAACGTACTCCGCCGCCTCCTTCCGCTGCGCGCCCGCCAGCACGCGCAGCTCGTACAGCGCCTCCGCGCCGCCCACGTCGAAGAACGCGAGCAGCGCGGGGTCCATCTGCGCGGCGCTCAGCGTCGCGCGCACCTGCGCCGCCGTGGTGACGGCGCTCTGCTCCACGCCCGTCATGCCCGTCGCCTCCGCGATCGCCGCCGGCGACAGCCCCTGCCGCCCCAGCGCGCCGATGGCGGGCGCGTACTCGTACCACAGCCCACGCCGCTCGCGCACGACCTCTAGCAGTTCCTCTACCGACCCCAGCCCCTCCTCCACCGCGCGCTCCGCCGGCTTTAGAAACGGCAGGTACATCCCCCCGCTACCGGAACCGCCGCCGGTACCCCCGGGGCTGGACGAGAGCGGCTGGCCGTTGAGCCCGATGAGGCCCTGCCCCTTGGGGAAGCCGCCGCCACCGCCCGATGCGCGCGCGCGGAGGGGCGGAAGACGATGCGCGCGGCGGGAGGCGGTGTTGGCACGACCGAGAGGCGCGCGCGAGAGGTGCGCGGTGCTGAGGGAGTGGCGCACTAAGTGCGGCCTGAGCGCTGCGGCGTCCATTGCTGGCGGCGACAGGCGAGGCGCGGGAAATGCGGCCGCGAGGATGGGATGGGAGGCGAGAATGGAAGAGAGAGAAGGAATGAGAGAGGAGCGATGAGCGAGGGTGGATGGGTGGTAGCAGGAATCGCCGTGTGTGTGTGGATTCTACACATGCGTTTGTGTGCTGGAAAGAAACTGAAACAGACCCAGGGGGTTGAGGGTTATGCACAAATGTGGGCAGGTCAAAAGGCTCGCTCGTCATTTTAACAAAACGCAAACACCACGCTCCCAAGTCTTCTTGCACCATCATCTTGCCCTACCTCTCTCCTTCCCGCGCACCCCCCGCGCATCCTAGTAGTCGCGCGTGGCCATTATCCGCCCCCAGTGTGCTGCGAGGAGCGCGTGATTTTCGCCGCTGGTCTGTGCGGCCCCGTCCATCCGCCCCGCTACCTCCTGCCTCATCTCCGCGGACCTCCGCGCATCTTTCCCGGGCAACTCCCCCGCGGCAGCATGAGCACCAAGCGTCCCCGCACAGGTCGGTGCGCTGCCGCGCTGCTTTTCCTCACCGCTCCGCCTCCGCCCGCTCCACGCAGGTCCAATTCCCTCGCGTGCCTTTCCCCGCTCACCCGATTCCGCTTGCCGCGTGTCCCGCACACGTGGCTGCGCAGACGCGAGCGGCGACGGCGACTGGACGTGCCCGGCGTGCGGCAACGTCAACTTCTCCTTCCGCACGTCCTGCAACATGCGCAAGTGCGGCGCGCCCAAACCCGCGCCCGGCCCCTCGCTGATGCACCCGCCACCGCAATACTCGGTGAGCCCCCCGCGTGATCCCGCCGTCCTCCCGCTCGTGTCGTTCCCGAGCGCGTGCCCCGCTGCACTGCACCCACGCCGCCTTGTCTTTGCGTGCCCCAACTCCCCTCGCCGTGCGCCGTCCCTCCACTGCCTGCTCCCCTTCGAGCTCTCCCCCCGCCCTCCCCCGCCCCATCGTCCTATCAACCCCTTCCGTCCCTCTCTGTGTCCCCGCTCTTCTCTTCCCCCTCCCCTCCCTCCCCCGACAGCATGCGCCGTCGCAGGCGGCAGCCCCCATGCCGGGGGATCCGGGCGCGCCCATGCACGCCATGCACGCGATGCCGCCCATGCAGCCGCTCGGCGCGCCCTACATGCCCGCCATGCCCCCCGCGCACTACGCCCCGTACCCCCCCATGCCCTCCCCCGCGCCCATGTATGGGGCACCCGCCATGCCTCCGCCCTATGACCCCTCCGTGCACCTCGCGCCGCCCTACATGCCGCAGGCCATGCCCCACATGCCCATGCCGCCAGGTGAGTCTCCCCCTCCGCCCTGCCCTGCCCTGCCCTGCCCTCTCTCGTTATACGGTTATCCTCGCTGCGCCTAGTGCTTTTCCCCCCGCGCCTCTGTACCGTCTCGTCTCCCTTATCTCACACCCTCTCCCCTCCCCCTGCCCCTCCCCGCCCCCTCCCTCCCCCCTCCCCCTGGCCGCGGGGCCCCCAGCGCACGCGTTCGCGCCCTTCCCCATGGACGCCTACCGCCCCATGCCGCCTGTGAGCCGCCCTCGCTGCTTCCCCCGCCCCGCTCTCGCCTCCCCTTGCCACTCTCTGCCCTCGCCCCCCCGCGCCCGCCCTCGCCACCCTTGCTCTCCTCTATGCCGCCCAGTCCCTATCCTTGGCCTCTCGCTGATTCGTCCCTCTTTGAGCCAAGCGCACTTGCGTTCTTCCCCCTCCCACTCCCCCTCCCCTCCCCCTCCCCCTCCCCCTCCCCTCCCCCTCCCCCTCCCCCTCCCCCTCCCCCTCCCCCTCCCCCTCCCCCTCCCCCTCCCCCTCCCCCTCCCCCTCCCCCTCCCCCTCCCCCTCCCCCTCCCTCCCCCCCTGGCAGCCGGGCATGCAGCAGCGGCAAGGGGAGGGGGCGGACGGGCGGAAGCGGAGGGGGGGACCGGAGGGGAGTGGGGAGGGGGACTGGGTGTGTTTCAAGTGCGGCAACACCAACTTCTCCTTCCGCACGCACTGCAACATGCGCAAATGCAACGAGCCCAGGCCCCCTGCCACGCCCCTGCCTCCTACTCTCTATGTGCGCTCGCCGCCTCCCCTCCCCCTCCCTCTCTCCTCTCCTTGCCTCCTCCTCTCCTTCTCTTCTCTTCCTCTCCTCTCCTCTTCACGTCCTCAACTTTTCTCCTCCTGTCCTTCTCTCCCCCTCTCGTCCTCTCCTCTACTCTCCTTCTCTCATCACCTCCCGCACACCCTGCTGTGCCCCGCATCTCGTCCACGCCTCGCAGCAAGCGAGCCCTCCTGTACTGCGATGCTCATCGTCTTGCTTTCATGCTTTTCAACCCCCTTCGGCACTGCCCTGTCTAATCTTTGCTTCCTGCACTCCCTCCTCTCCCCTCCCCTCCCCTCCTCTCCCCTGCCCGTCCCTGCCCATCAACCCCTCGTCGCCCCCCTCCCACCTGTCGGCGCCCTGCGTGTGCCCGGGTGCCATGCCACAGGTGCACCCTGTTTCTCCCGCGCCTCTGCCTGCTCACCCGCCGCGTGAGTCCCCTGCTGCGCCCCTCCGCTTGGCCCCCATCCACCCCCTCTCACCGTGCCACCACGGCTTCCTCACACCACCTTCATTACGATTCGCCTCTCTCTTTCTTCCCATCCCACCTCCCACTCCCATATCACTCACCTCCCCTCACTCTCTCCATTTATGTTATGAATACCTCTTGCTTTCTGTGTTTAGGCTTGCAACCATCCTCCTCACCTCCTGCATCTGCCCTTCCACCCCCTACCCCCCCACCCCCCATCCCATCTGCCCTGTATGGGAGAGGGCAGGCGTGCAGGCAGCAGCACCGGATGGCAGTTGGGCGTGCAGTGAGTGCGGGAACGTGAACTACCCCTTCCGCTCGCACTGCAACCGCCGCCACTGCGGCCGCCCGCGGCCCACCCATGACACCGCTGCTGCTGCCGGCAGCGGAGGGGGAGATGCCGCTGCCGCTGTAAAACAGGAGGTATGCCCCCCGGGGTTGGAAACCAGAGCGAGGTGATGTGGCGGCACCTGCCGTCTCTCCACTCGTGATCGCTGCCGTCCCTCCTGCCATCTCCCAACTCAACTGCCTCTTGTGTTTCCAGTGTTGATCCCTCTCGTTGTAATGTCTGCTGGTTTTTTGCCTTCGGGGCCTCGCTTATGCTCCTTGGGCTGCCATGGAGGCATTTTATCTGTTGAAGCAGGAAGATTAAGTTCTTCCTTTGCTGCCACTGGACTTTCAACTTCCATCTATTCTTGCAGTAACGCCGGCAGCATCAGGAGGTCAAGATGAGCAGACGATGTGAGTATGTGTCTTCACATGACAACCCTTGTTTTTATCATTCAACCACCACTTTGAATGGCCGTATTGCCTGGGCCTCGTTTTCAGGCCTGCAGGTAAGTGTAGTTGTTTTGCCACGCCATGCCCTGCATTGCTGCTGTGCTTCGCCACTTCTCCCCACCCTGACGGCCGTGTCCTCCTCGGTCCTGTCGTCTGTCTGTCTGTCTACTTTCTGTGTGCCGTCTGTCCGCCTGTCTGTCTGTCGTCTTGTCTGTCTGTCTGTCTGTGTCTGTCTTTCCGTCTGTCTGTGTCTGTCAGGGTCACATGCTGCTGCTGTCAGGCAGCTCGAGTCTCGCTGTGCTCTCACCCCCAGCCCAGCCATGGCACCAAGGGGGCGCTTGGGGAAATGCTTTCCTGTAATGGTTGCACCTAGTGTAACGTCAGCCACCACCGTCGTCGCAACTGCCACCACATTTGCCTGATCCTGTCCCATACCCTTGGGTTCTCTCTGGTTTGGTCAGAGTGGCTGAATAGTTGACAATTATGTATAGTGTGTGGGCGCCTTAGATTGATTAAGAGTGCTTTTGCTTGCAGATGAACCTGCTGCCGATTGAACTCAAATTTAGTGAAGGTTTACCATGTACTGGAATTGAATCCTCAACATGCAATCGCCAATTGCTTTTTGGTGTTACAAAAACGGTTTTTCCCTAAACTGTCTTGTAGTGTGCAACTGTCAGGCCCCAGAACAAGGATTGTGATGAGTGCTTGCTGTTCTGCCATCCACGAGAGTGTATGTGATTGGACTCAAGTTATTCAAGAGAGTGAGGTCTCCGTTGGTTGGCTGCTCGCAAATTAAAACAGTGCTTGGCCGAAGCTTTCTGTCAACGGCAGCTTCCACCGAACGACGTGTTGATTGGTCGGAGCTAGGGCCAAAACTGCCTACAACAAGCGGGCTGGCCTGGGTTGTTCTGTGCTCTTTGGGGGGAGTGGGACAAAGGGATTGGGTGGATAGATGGGCGCGCGATGGGGTTGCGATGTGTTGCGATTCAACCTGACGATGTGATGCGGATGTGGATGCGCGGATGATCTTGGTCCTTCGCTGCCATCCCCCTGCGGCGGATGATGATGCCCGCAGCCCTCCGCTGCAATCCCTGCAATCGGCAGGGCTCGGTCAGATCAGGTGGGGTTCGGCCGACCGAACCTCCGCGAATCGAATTGCAGTACAGAAGAGGAGGGACGGAGCAGCATTAGTGTTTTCAAATTTAGGAGACACCCCGACTAGTGTGACGTTTCGGGCTAGAAACGAGGCTTCGACAATTGTTTCTCCTCACGAGGAGGCGGCCAGGGGTGGTCAGGTTGTTCAGTTCACCGCATCACTGGTTGCTCGGGTCAGGAGGAATAATTTCGTTTTGCAGGCACAGCAGCAACTGTAGTCAGTAACATGTGCTGGAGATTACAGCACAGCTTCTGTGTGAGCAGAGCAGATGCCCTCTGTAAGGGAGCATGAAGCCAGTTTCATACAGTGAAATGCGCCTGATTTGATCTGATTACGCCGGACTCTTGCTCAGCAAAGGGAATTTTGGGAATGATCACTCAATCTGTCCGTAATATTCGTGACAGGCTTCCCAAACGAGAGAGTTCGGGTTTTACAAGGATACGAAGACTGAGGTTGTGTCGGTGATATTTTAGACTCGGTTTTTGTCAGGTTTTGAATCCACGTGCACACGGACTTCCGTCGAGGCATCTCGGTTATAAGTCTGCAAAATCAAGGGGGGCAATGCCCGTGGATAGAAATGGTCAGGGTGGTGAAGATGTCCGGGACCAAGTGCAATCTTGACGTCCAGTTAGGTCGATTTTGGTGGGGGTGTGTCCATCTCAACTCAGGAGGAGTCATCAGTTCTTCCCAGCACCATTTATGGCGGTGGTAGAGCTGTGCCACAGGTGTATGAACGAGGGTTCCTGGGAGTATGCAGTAGACTTTGAGCAGAGTTAGGCGTCTGAGACATCTTTAACAGTAGACTCTGAACAGAGCCATCTTGCTGGTAGGGTTGGCGGTAATGTTTCAACTGAAAGGGATGCTAACGATTGCTCACTAACTAAAAGTTCAAAACCTTCACTGCCGCCATAGCCGTTTTCCGAATCACTTGAATGAACCCCAGCACAAACATAAGACCCATTGGAAGAAAACAATCTTTTCTTGGCACAATAAATGACGACCCGTCCGCCATCATCGGAGGACGAGGAGAGTGCACCGCCGCTGCGGGTGCAGATAGCGATGAACATGGACGCCATGGTTTCGCAGCTGCGCCACGACTCGTCGGATGACACCCTCTCGTGCCTCCCAGACGCCGCCCTGCTCCAACAATCCGTCGCCGCCGCGCGCTTCACGGAAATAATGGCCGCCGCTTCGTTGGGTGCGCGTGATGCAGCGATAGACGTTGATTTGCAAGGGACACCATTGATTGTAGAGCAAGGCAGGCAGGTGGTAGGCGGGGTGGTAGATCCGCAGCATTCCCAGCCTCAACGCCCTGACCTCGACCCCTTGCGTGCCGCACCGCACTCCGCCGCGCGAGCGACGGGTGTGATTGGCAGGAGCGGTGACCGTCGTGTAGGAGAAAGCGTGGAAATAGGCGTGATGGGCCAAAGTGAAATGGCGGCGAGTCCTCCTGGGCTGATGCCGCACAGCGTGGCGAGTGGAAATGGCGATGAGCTGTTCACCCAAATGCTCCTGGCGCAGCGGCAAGTGTGGCAGCAGCAGCAGCGGCGGCAGTGGCAGCAAGAGCAAGCGCAGCAGGAGAGAACAAAGGAGCAGCAGCTCTTTCTGTTGCAGCAGCAACAACAATGGCAGCAGCAACTCTTGCTTTCGCAAAATGCAGTAACTCAACATGACCAGGCCCTGATACTGCGACAAATGACAACTGGCCTTCACATGACACCTGGACACCAGATGACAGCTGGATTTCATATGCCAGCTGGACTTCAAATGGCAGCCCAACATCAAATGACATCCGGACATCAGATGACACACCAAGTGACAGTTGGGCATCAAATGCCAGCTGTACATCCGACAGCTGGACATCAGTTGACCCACCAACGGACAGCTGGACATCAGATGACAGCTGGACATCAAATGACAACTGGACATCAGATGACAGCTGGACATCAATCCACAGCAGGTCGCCTAGTGCCCACTGTGGCACCTCACGCGGCCTCGTCTGCCCTGCAGTCTCGCCCCCTTGCCCGCCCTGACCCCGCCCCCCCACCGCAGCCTCCGCGTACGCAGCTGCTACCCGCGCTGCAGGCGCACCCCGCGGAGGCTGGGGGGAATGATGCTCTAGGGACAGACGCGGATGAGGAGGGGGGAATGGACGACGAGGGGAGGGATGGGGATGAGGGGATGGTGGGTCACGAGGGGGAAGAAGGGGGGGAGGGTGAAGGAGGGGGGCAGGACGAGGGCGGGGATTCACGGCAGAGAATGCGGAGGCGAGTGCAGGTGGAGCGAGTGAGGCGCCAGCGAGTCAGGTACCTCACCGCCCACCCACCTCTACCCCACTGCATCGCCTCACCGCCCACAGCAGTCTCTTGACCCTCGCCCGCACATCCGCCTTCCCTGCCCTCGTCTCACCCTCCCTCACTCCCTAAATCCCTCGCTCCCTCTCTCCTTTCCTTCCTTCTGTTGCCCTCCTTCCCTCTCTCCCTTCGGTCCGCCTTCCCTCTCACTCCCCTTCTTATCCCGCCTGCCCTCACTCCCTCCTTCCTTCTACTTCCTTCCCTCCCTCTCTCCATCCTCTCTCCCTCTCTCCTTCCTTCCATTTCCTTCCTTCTATTTCCTTCGCTCCCTCCATTTCTCTCCCGCCTTCCCGTTATGTCTCCTTCCTCTCTTCTTCCTTCCCTTTCTTCTCCTTCTATATCTCTTTCCCTTCCTCCATCCTTCCCTCCCTTCGTCCCCCTCTCCCTTGTTTGTTCTCCCTTCTTCCCTGTCTTCCTCCTCCCTTCCTCGTTTCCTCTCTACTTCCTTACCTTTCTTCCTCCTTTCCTTGATTCTTCGCTCCTTGTTCCCTCCCTTCTTCCTTCTCTGTTTCCCACCCTTTCCCCCTCCTTCCGTTCGTTCTTCGATCTCCCTTCTCTCTCTTCTTCTCTCACTTTCTCCTTCTCTCCATTTCTCCCTCCCCTCCCTTGTTCGTTCCCCATCCCCCCTCTCTCTCCTTTCCTCCCTCATTCTCTCCTTTCGTCCCTCTCCCCCTACTTCAATCTCTCTCTACTTCCCACTGTTCCTCCTTTCCTCCTTCATTTCACCTCTCACCCTCCGTCACTCTTTCCTTCCCTCCCCTCCCCCTATCCCCCCTTTGCAATCATTACGTCTCTCCCTTATCCCTCCCTACCTTCTACCCTCTCCCCCTCCTTTCTCCCTCACTCCCTCGTTCCATCTATCCCTCCTTCTCTCCCTCAATCCCTCCCTCGCTATTCTTTTCTCTCAAGCGGTCCGTGTATTAGATCCAAGCAAATACAGACATGCAAAGGATAGAGATGCTACTCATACAAATCATCTTCTAACCCACACATCCCACTCACCCCCCTCCCCCTCTGCTCCGTCTAAGGGAGCTCCAGCACCGGCTCTAAGATGGCCAGGCAGTCCCCAAGGGACATGCCCTCGCCTGGCATCTCCGCAGGTGGGTTCTCCACCTGTGCCGCGTAGTTGCATTTCTCCATAAAGCTCACCGACTGAGCACGCTGCAGCGCCACGGACCACCTCTGGCGGAACTGGTGCAGCAGCTTCGTAGCCTGGTAGGATGAGGGGGCCGCGTTGAAGAGCCTGCGGGCGGCGGTCTCGGCTAACAGCTTGAAGAATTGGGGCACTTCCTCGCAAGGGCAGCCGTAGGTGTCAACGGCGAGTGGGAAGAATCCGACCCACGAAGCCGTTGAGCCTTCGTAGTCGGAGATCTTCTTCTCCGCCGCTTCACGGGCTGCCCACCCCCTGCCCTTGACTGCGTTGGGGTCACGGGTGCTGATGGGGTCCGTGATTGTCACGTCCCCAATCCAAACCGCCCCCGAGGACTTGTCCCTGATTGCTATGTCCGCCTTCTTCCTAGTGACGGGGCAGAATGCGGTTGTCTCTCCATGAGTCATGAAGTCCGCGTCGTTGGCCATCCGGAGGCACTCATCCCGCAGCTCATTATGGGTGTTGGTCCTCCCCTTCCCTGTGTCACAGCGCAGAAGGTGGTTGGGCAGCCGTCGGTCTGTGATTGCCGTGTTGTTGCGGCAGTCACAAGCCCCAGGTGCAGAGGAGGGAAGCCCCATTCGGAACTGCAGTGCGTGGGCGAAGTGATCTGGAGCCAGGCGCAGCGACTTGTTAAAGGGGACCGCGTTGAGCCAGTCCCCTGCCCCATACCCCGAGAGGGAGAGCATACGTTGCGTGTGCCCGCTAAGGGGGTTGAGCGGCATGTCGCGCGTGGTTTGGACCTGCTCGGCGTAGCGGCGTCCGTGGACCGCGATTGCCAGCCCGTGCTGCAGCTTGATGCCTTTGGGTTCGGCGCGGTCGCTCTGCAGCAGCTCCTTCCCGTCCTCCGGCAACATCTCCTCGCACCTCTCCAACCAGTCAAACAGCGGGGACGTGTTGAGGTAGGGTCCCGCCATCTGGATCCGTGTTTCTGCCAAGGCGCCGACCGCCGCCTCGTCAATGGAGGTGAGCAAATGCTGCGCCTGCGTGTAGCTCGCCAAGAACCCTACGCGACCCTCCTCCGACGGGTCCGTCAGACCCAAGCCTCCAAGTGAGATCGGGAGTGAGGCTTGGGCCCAGGTCCGTGCTATCTCAGCCTCCCCCCGTGGGTGTCGAATGCCGCAAGCCGTCAACAGTGTGTCAAACAATCCCTTGCCCCAGTCCGACCATTCCTCCACTGGCAAGGGAGAGAGCGGAGTGGTGCGCGCGACATAGGAGACTCGCCGCGAGATGCATCTGGTAAGCAGGAGAGACGCCAGCTGTGGCTCCATTCTCGCAATTAGGCGAAGTGGGGCTCCCATTGTGTTAAGGCTGTCGCGTAGGAACGCTGCAGTTGCGTCGTTTCCGCCGACGAAGCTGCCCAGCACCTTCACGCCGTCATCAATGAAAGGTACGCCCTGCGGCAGGGGTGTTGACTGACGGCCTGCCTGTGACCATGCCGCACACTTAGCGGGGTTGTGTTGTAGCCCAATCTCCCCAAGGCTTCCTGTGAAGTGCCCAAACGCCGCCGCACAAGCCGCTGCTTCTCCAAGAAAAGTGACGTCGTCCGCGTATGCCAGGCATACCACGGACGGGAAGGTAAGTGCCGTGCTTGTCAACGCGGGGTGAATGGCGGCAGCAAACAGCAAGGGGCCGAGGGGATCTCCCTGCCTCACCCCGGTTTCGCTCAAGAGTGGTGGGTGCGAGAATCCGGCATCCAGGCATAGGGAAGAGGGGTGGCCATATGACAGTTTCTCTCTCTCTCTCCTTCCATCCCCCGCTCCCTCTCTCCCTTAACTCTCCCCCTCCTTCCCTCTCCCCTTCCTTCCCTCTCTTCCTTCTTCCCTCTCTCCTTCCTTCCCTCTCTTCCTCCTTCCCTCTCCCCTTTCTTCCCTCTCCCCTTTCTTCCCTCCCCCTTCTTCCCTCTCCCCTTTCTTCCCTCTCCCCTTTCTTCCCTCTACCCGTCCTTCCCCTTCTCCCTCCTCCCTCTCTCCCTCTTTCCCTCACTTTCTCCATCCCCCTATTCCCCATTTCCTCCTTTCCTCCCTCCTTCCCTCTCCCCCACCTTCCCTCTCCTCCTCCTTCCCTATCCCCCTCCTTCCGTCCCCCCTTCCTTCCTTCTCCCCCTCCTTCCCTCTCTCCCACCTTCCCTCTCCTCCTCTTTCCCTCTCACCCTCCTTCCCTCTCCCCATCCTTCCCTCTCCCCCTCTATCCCATCCCCCTCCATCCCTCTCAACTTGCTCTTCCTTTTATCGTACATTGCATCCGTTCTTAATCTTCTCCGCCCGCCTTTAATCCCCCCCCACTCCTCCCTATTCCCCTCCATCCGCCCCTATCCCCCTGCATCCGTCTCCATCCCCCCCCGATCCGCCACGGCGGGTGAGAGCAGGGAGGGGTTGCAGCAGCTGCAGCAGAGCATACCGTACGCGGCGGGCAACGAGGAGACCGCCTCCATGCTTGACAACGTCGTCTCTTACATCCGCCAGCTGCAGGTGCGCCTCATACATCCGCCAGCTGCAGGTGCGCCTCATACATCCGCCAGCTGCAGGTGCGCCTCATACATCCGCCAGCTGCAGGTGCGCCTCATACATCCGCCAGCTGCAGGTGCGCCTCATACATCCGCCAGCTGCAGGTGCGCCTCATACATCCGCCAGCTGCAGGTGCGCCTCATACATCCGCCAGCTGCAAGTGCGCTGCCCTGGGGGACACATGCTCACGGATGCGGGTGCATGTGAGGCAGGTGCATGTGAGGCGGGTGCATGTGAGGCAGGTGCATGTGAGGCGGGTGCATGTGAGGCGGGTGCATGTGAGGCAGGTGCATATGAGGCAGGTGCATGTGAGGCAGGTGCATATGAGGCAGGTGCATGTGAGGCAGGTGCATATGAGGCAGGTGCATGTGAGGCGGGTGCATGTGAGGCAGGTGCATGTGAGGCACCCTCACATGAGCGTGCGGCTACCACAGCTGACATGTGCTCGCGATAATCCTCCATGTTCTGCTGCCCTCTCCGCTGAGCTCTCTTCACCCCCTCCTCCCCCCCACCCATCACCCTGTCCCTGCACACCATCAGGACGACTGCAATGGCCTCGAGCACATACTCCTCTCCTCCACGCCCTCCTCCTCCATTGCACTGCCCTCTGCACCTGCTCATGCCGCTGCTGCCGTTGCTGCTACCGCTGCCACTGCCTCCCTGCAACTGCCCCCCACCAGCGCCAGCACGCCCCTGCCACCGGGCCTATTCCCTCCGTACATGCTGCCTCCGCACCCCCCACCACCCTAGCATGGCGCCATGGCTTAGCATCACTGCGGCATGCTGCCGCTCACTTGTTGCTGCCTGTGGGCCACAGTTGTGTTGTTGTGAGGCATGGCCGTGCCGCCATTCCTCTTTCTCTTTCTTTGGCTTGTAAACAACCTCCTTGTTAGTTCTGTGTTGCCTGGAATGCCAGGGCAACCGTGCCTACTGCTGGGGTGAACCTGCTGTCCTTGCTTCAGAGAAGCACGTCCTCTGTCGCTTGGGGCTGCCGCACGTGCAGCATTGCATGGCCACTGGCGGGACCTGCAGTGCTCACGTTTCTTTCTATCTGTTCACCCACACTGCTCACTTGCATGCTCGGCCTTCACGCATTGCTGTGCCACATGCGCCTTCTGCCATCGAAGCAAGATCACATCCCTAGGAATTTACATGCCATGCATGATCACAGCTCTTCATTCAGTACTTGTTGCCAGCACACCTCATAAGCAGTCGGCCTATTCACCAGTCTCTCCGGCAACACGTGGTTACCACCATGCCTATGCGCGCTGCCCACCACCCGCGCCTTCCCTGGCACTCGCACTAGAGCCTCTATGCCATACATCACAGAAAGGACAACCGATACCGACCCTAGCAGCACGGCCTGCAGCCTATCGGGGTCACCTTTAAAGGCAAGTAGTGCAGCGAGGGCGGCAAGGGTGGCACATACACTCATGCGCTGCACCCCCACTGCTGCCCTCACTAGCCGCCCATCTGACACCAGTTGTGGGCCTGAAGGGGGCAGCAGCGAGGCTGCGGGGGACGAGTGCGATGCGGTTGAGTGTGGTGCCACGTGGTGGGAGTGGTGGTGGTGGGGGCGGGGGCGGTAGAGGAAGAGGAAGTTGTACTTGTCGACGATGAGGCGGTAGGAGAAGAAGAGCAGCCCGGCCGGCAGCACCAGGGGGGCGAGGGGCGCGTGGAAGAGCAGCAGGCAGAGCGCCGTGGTGTTGTACGCGTAGTACTGTGCATAGTCAAACTGCAACATGCCCTTTCGCTTCCTGGAAGCCTCCTGTGCCTCCGCTCCCCCTGCTGCTGGAGCCTCTGCCCCCCCTGGTGGTGCTGCCTCTGCTGTGGGGGATGCAGATGCTGACGGCTGCTGTAGTGCTTCCGTGCCACCTGGTTGCGCTGCTGCTGCTGTGGGCTCTGGTATGCACGCCACAGCAGGCGGAGGGAAGGCGCCGAGGGGCGTGCAGGGGGGTGGGTGGGTGGAGTGTGGGGGAAGGGATATGTGTGTTGCGGTGGGGGAGGCAGGTGAAAGGAGAGCGGCGGTGCGAGAGGAAGGGGAGAGGAGGCGAGAGTGGGTGGCTGTCTCTGATTCTGCCTCTTCCAGCAGCGACAGCAACCCGCGGTCACTCTCACTGCTGCACACACTCTCTCCCTCACTCCCTCCCTCCTCGTCATCAGTCGCCCCGTTGCCACCTTCAGCCATGTCATCCAATGGCTGTCCGCCACGTGCCTCAGCATCACCATCCCCACAACCACCCTCAACAGCATCACCTGGCAGGAGCACATACGCACCGCTCTGCACCGCTCCAACTCCTCCGATATGCGCCCTCCTGGCCACCGCTGCTCCCACCCAGCCTCCAATCACCCCGAATCCACTGCCCCCATTCCCCAGCCCCACGCCCTCTCCACCTGCCGTCGCCCCGCTCACGGCATTGCAAGCCCTTGTTGCGCGGCGCCAGTGTAGAGAGAGGCGCTGGCAGAGGTGGAGCAGGGCGAGCAGCACGCGACGCATTGAGAGGCGGCGCAGGGAGAGGCGCAGGCGGTGCAGGCGGGGGGCGAGCCAGGCGAGGGGCGCGAGGAGGTCAAAGGAGACACCGAGCAGCGCGGAGGTGAGCAGGAAGCAGAGCGCGGAGAGCGAGGAGGTGGGGATGAGCGAGGCGTTGAGCCAGTGCAGCACCGTGGGGCAGTGCGCCGACAGCAGTGAGCAGCGCTGTGCGTGCAGCAGTGCCGCCTGCAGCAGCGCCTCCAGCAGCGCCTGGCGTGGGACGGGCAGCGGTTGGTTGGAGAGAGCTCAGGCGAGGGCGAGGAAAAGGAGGGTGGAGACGCAGTGACAAAAAGTCAGTGCAGGGCGGCAGGCAAGGCAAGGCATGAGTTGGCAGGTTCCCCTGCACGCTCACACGCAGACAACACGACCAGAGCAGCAGCAAGGGGGCAGCAGAGGGCAGCAGAGCGAGAGGGCGGGGATGGGGATGGCACCTTGAGCACGTATAGATTGAAGAGGTAGAGTGCGGTGAGCTTGAGCAGCAGCGCGGCCTGCTGGCGCGACGTGGTGATGTGCCCCTCGAAGACCACCAGGCGGTGCAGTGCTGCTGGCATGACGCCGTACATGGCGGTGAACTACAGCACGTTGGGCAGGAACTGCAGCGCCACCGCTGCCTTGCCACTGTTGCTCTGATGGCCCGGAGCGCATGGGAAGGGGGTGGAGGGGAGAGGGAAGGAGAAGGATGAGAATGGGAAGGGTACGAAAGGCGAAGAATGGATAATTGGATGTGCGCCCCACAGCACCGCACTGCACTGCACCGCCCTCTCCATTCTCCACGACCACTCACCTCCACTGCATGCCACTTCATCCCCCATCGCCCCTCCCCTCCCCATTCTCTACCTCTCTGCCACTCCCCTCTTTGCATCAAATCCCCTGCTTCTCCCCCCACACCTCTCCCTCTGCTCAACTCACACGCGCCCATGAGAGCCACGCGTTGAGGTGGGAGAGGGCAGCAGTGTCAGCAGTGTGGGCGGCAGACGAGACGGCGGAGAGCAGGGCGAGCGGGCACGACCACGCACACAGCGCTGCCACCACCACCACATTCACCACCCACGTGCGGACACGCCTTGCCGCCCGGCTGCCGCCCACGTTACGCCAGATGATGCTGGCGGCAGGCGGCGCGCGCTCCACACGCCAGGAGGCGGTGGCGAGGGGGGCGAGGCGCCACCTGGGGGAGGCCCACAGGGCGTCTCTTAAAGCCCGGGTGGCCGTGTAGGCATCGCGGAACACCACCAGCGCCACCCCCGCCCCGCCCCCCCTGCCCCTCCGCAGCAGCTGCGCCTCCCCCTCCGCCCTGCGCACCTGCTCCTCCAGCCTCCGCGCCTCCTCCCCCCAGTCGCGCACCCCCATGCCCCACAGCCAGGCAGGGGATGCGGGGGGGAGGAGAGTGCGCAGGGTGGCGAGGAGGTGCGAGAGGGAAAGGGAGAGCGAGTGCAGGGCGGTGATGGGGGGGAGGCAGAGGCAGTGCAGTGCAGAGCGGGCAGTGTGGGGCGGCAGGAAGAGGCGAAGGCAGGCGAGCAGAGAGGACGCCACGGGCCCACCTGCCCCACCCGTGCCACTGCCACAACCCCCTCTCCCTAACTCCCCTCCCTCCCCATCCTCTTCCCCCTCCTCCAGCTCCCCTCCTCCGCCTCCGCTCATCCCCTCCTCTCTCCTCCCATCCAATCGCTGCATGCCAGCTGGACCCTGCCGGCCGCTCCAGGCGATGAGTGGCTCGTGCACAGACGCCACGTCAGCACCACCATCACCATGCACGTGTGCTTGCGGCCCCGCGCCAGCACCTGTCTCCACACCTGCGGTGCCCTGCAGAGCGGCCCTGGCGTGGGCCTGGGCGAGGCGTGCTGTGAGGGCCGCCACGTGCCGCCTGGCTGCCAGCGCTGCCGCCACGTCGGGCGGCTGCAGCACCCGAGCCACCCTCCCCGGGTACAGCCGGTCCCAATACTCCAGCAGTAGCTGGGAGAGAGGGGAGGCGGGGTTGGGTTTGGAGGACAGGCAGGGGAGGTGGGAGGGGTGTGGAAATGGGAGACAGGTGAATGGATGTGCGCGGGAGTGCGTGCGTGTGTGCGTGAGTGAGCAGGTGAGTATGGGAGTGCACGAGTGAGTGAGTGAGTGAGTGAGTGAGTGAGTGAGTGAGTGAGAGAAGGCGGAGGGCAGCAAGAGGGCACCTGAGGGCAGGCTGATAGGCCTCTAGGCACTCCGCGAATGAGAATTGTGTACTCTGCCACGTCATGCGCTGTCATGTCCACGTCATCATCGCCATCAACAGCATTATCAAGGGCGGCAGCACCATCAGAACCATCAGCACCATCAGCGCCATCAGCGCCATCAGCGGGAGTGCCATGGCGGGTTACACAGCGCAGGGCAGCATACCCTTCCCGCGGACTCTCCCCATCCCCGCTGCCCTGCCCCCCGCTTCCCCACCCCGACCACGCTCTCCCCGAACCCCCTGCGTCTCCTCCGCCCTCGTCCCTGCCCTGCGCCACCGCCCTGGCGCGCACGCGCTGGCGGCGGAAGGCGCGGATGGCGAGGTGCACGGCGGGGGGCAGCAGCAGCGCGAAGAGCGCGTGCAGCCAGAGCGCGGGCGCGGCGGGCACGACGTGCGCGATAGTGGCGGCCGCCAGGTAGTCGCACACCGCGGAGTCCGCTCCGCGCAGGTTGGCGGGGAACAGCAGCGCCATCGCGGGCACCAGCAGCGCTGCGATGAGCGCGCACGTGCAGCGCTGGGGGAAGAATTGGGGGAAGTGGGGGAGCAGGGGAGAGGAGGCGGAAGGGGAGGGGAGGGGGAAACGGCGGGGGGAAGTGGTTCAGGAGACTGAAGGGGAAGGAGGGGGGAGCCGGGGAGAAGAAGGGGGAGAACAAGTGAGTGGGGGTGGCGCGGGGCGCACGAGCAGGATGAGGTAGTCGGCGGCGTCCGCTCCGCACAGCGTGACGATCTGCGCGTCCGTCACGTGCCACACCGCGCGCAGCTTCCGCCACGCGTGCCGCGCGGACGGCAGGCGGTGATCGGCACGCAGCTTGACGGCGGCGAAGAGCGCCACGCAGCACACGCCGGCCGGCGCGCTCACGTTCCACAGGTACTGCAGCCCCCACGCCGCGCCCGCCCCGCCCGCCCCGCCCCCATCGCCGCCCCCGCACGTGCTGTTAGCGGGCGGCGGTGGTGCGAACGACATGGGCGGAAGGATCGGCGGACTGGGAGGATGGTGGGCGGGGAGGGGTAGCGCGCGCGGCAGGGAGTACTAGTGCGCGTAAGCATCAGGCGGAGAGCCTAGGGGATGCGGGAAGGGCGCCAATGGGCGGCACGGCGGAGAGGGTACGGTGGCGCGGAAACAGTGGCGGCGAGGGGTGGCGAGGAGTGACCATGGCTAGTAGCGCGACGCTAGCGACCGGAGGTGGCGGCAGCGTACGAGGACTGCGCTCGTTGAGTCGCGTCGCACGGCCGGCCTGGTGAATGGGATTGAGAGATCGGCGCGCAACGGCACGTGTGCGGCTCGGGAGGTGCTTGGGAAGTGGTGGTGTGCGGGGTGGGAATGCGAATGTGTCAGAGTTGGGAGGGGGTGTGGTGTGTGTGAATGCTGGATTTGGTCATTTCAAAATAAGAATCTGCAAGCAGCATGCGTGTATTTGTGGATACGACTGCAATAGCGAATCTGTTACTGTCGCATGCTTGGCAGTCCCTCTCCCTCCCTCCCTCATCCCTCTCCGTCACTACTTTCAACCCCACCATCCACGTGCGCGCACACTACAGCAACGCGCGCTGCGACTGCTGGGTGCGCGCGCCGTCATCCCCGCGGATGAATCCCGTCGCCCCCCTCTTTCCGCGGTGACCTGTCCGCGTCGGTTCTTCCCCTCGCCCGCTCTCCGTCCTCTCGCGCGATCGCCAGCATGCCTCGCCCGCATCATCGCAGCACACTCGCCGTCGCACGCCGATTCGTCGCAGCAGTCGCAAATGCGCGCAGCGACATCGCCCCGGGCACAGCGCGCACACCCGCGCTGCTTGAGCTCTCCGCGCCCCCACCTCCCGCCCCCCTGGCTGCTACCCCCGCGCATTCCTTCCGCATCAGCGCGTTACCCGCGCTCAGGGGCACAGCAGGGGGGAATTCCCCCCTGACACATGCTGGCGCAGTGCTGTCCGCCGCTGCGGCGGCTATAGCCGCCGCGGTAGTGGCGGAGGAAGGATCAGCGGCGCTCACGGAGTGCGAGGGCGCGGAGAGGGGTAAGGGCGGAAGCGAGGAGAGAGAAGAGCAGGAGGCGGTGCGCGCGGAGAAGGGGGAAGAAGCGGCGAAAGGAGCGTTTAAAGGGGAGGGGGTGGCAGAGCGCGGGGCGGTGATGAGAGCCCTGAGCGCGGAGGTGCGCGCGGGGCTGGTGGCGGCGGTGGGCGAGGAGGGCGTGGAGGAGGGCGAGGAGGAGAGGCAGAGCCACGCCAAGCCGTGGAACAGCTACCACCCCGTCTCCGCCCTGCCCGCCGCTGTTGTCTTCCCCAGGTCACTCTCCCCCACCCTGCTGCCCCACTGCTGTTTCTGCCCTGCTCATTCCCCCTCATGCCCCCTCATGCCCCCTCATGCCCCACCCACCATACGCCCTCACTACTTTCAAGCCCTCCTGGCATGTGCGGCATGCGTGATTGCTTTCTTGATGGCATGTGCGGTATGCGTGATTGCTTTCTTGATGGCATGGCATGGCATGGCATGGCATGGCATGGCATGGCATGGCATGGCATGGCATGTGTGGTGGCATGGCATGGCATGGCATGGCATGGCATGTGTGGTGGCATGGCATGGCATGTGTGCTGGCATGGCATGGCATGGCATGGCATCAGGAGCACGGAGCAGGTGGCAGCAGTGGTGAGGGTGTGTGCGGAGCACGGCGTGCCGGTGGTGGCGTATGGGGGAGGCACGTCGCTGGAGGGCCACACCACCACGCCCATGGGGGGAGTCAGCATCAACATGACTCGCATGAACGTGAGCATCAACATGACTCGCATGAACGTGAGTGCCCACGTGCCATCCCCACTGCCTCACTGCGCTCCCTGCTCCTTGCTCCTTGCTTCTGTTCGCCACCAACACCCCAACATTCTAATCACGTGCGGTGTCGTTGCCACACCATTCCCTGTGGCCTTTTGAGGCGCCTGAGCATGTGCCCACTACCATCCCATATTGCCCCCTCCAACCCTCATGTCCCACCCACAGCAAGTGCTAGCAGTGCACGAGGGGGACATGGATGCGGTGGTGCAGCCGGGCATCACGTGGGGCGACCTCAACGCCCACCTCGCCCCGCTGGGCCTCTTCTTCCCGCTCGACCCCGGCCCCGGCGCCACCTTAGGCGGCATGGCGGCCACGCGCTGCAGCGGGTCGCTGGCCGTGCGGTACGGCACCATGCGGGACAACGTCATCTCGCTGCAGGTGCGCACAGTGCTTCATGTGCTGCGTGTGAGAGCTTTCACAGCCCCATGCGATGGGACTTGAGCATGCTCTTGTTGCCAGCCTGCCGGCACCACTGCCACTGCTCCCCCTTCCTTCCTCCCACCACTCCCACTTCTCCTTTCTCTCTGCCTTTTCCCTTTCCCACTCCCACCCTCACTACACACCACACCACACCACACCACACTGCATCTCCCGCCCCCAACAGGCAGTGCTGGCAAACGGCGAGGTGGTGCGCACGGCAGCGCGCGCTCGCAAGAGTGCAGCGGGGTACGACCTGACGCGGCTGCTGGTGGGGTCCGAGGGCACGCTGGCTGTCATCACCGAGCTCACCGTGCGCCTGCACCGCATCCCACCGCTCTCCGCCGTGGCCATGTGCCCCTTCCCCTCCATCCGCGCCGCTGCTGACGCTGCCATCGCCACTGTTCACAGCGGCGTGCAGGTGGGACAGGGGGGGTGGTGTGGGGAAGGGGGGTCAGGGATGAGGGAAGGGAGGGGGCGATGAGGGGAGAGAGGGGCTGTTGAGGGAGGGATGAGTGGTTTGGGGGAGGAGGGTGGTGAGGATGAGAGAGGGGGTGGAAGAAACATGGCAGTGGGGAGGTGAGAAGTGGAGACCATGGGCGGTTATGAGGTAACCCTCTCCCACACTCCCCGCAACGCCTTCCTCCCCTCCAGGCATCGCGAGTGGAGCTACTAGACGAGGTGATGGTGGGCGCGTTCAACACTGCCAATGGGTACTGCTACCCGCACCGCCCCACGCTCATGCTGGAGGTCACAGCGGAGACCCCGCAGCACCTGGAGCAGCAGCTCGCGGCTGTGAGGGCGGTGGCAGAGCGGCACGGTGCGGAGGAGATGCGGTTCGCGGAGGGCGAGGAGGAGAAGCGCGAGCTGTGGCGCGCCCGCAAGGAGGCGCTGTGGGCCGCCTACTCGCTGCGCCCAGGGACAGAACCTCTTATCACCGTGCGTGCCTGTGTGCTGTGTTGCTGTGCGAGCGAGGGAGTGACAGCGCCTCATGAGTGTGGTGGCACTACCATCCCTCTCTGCATGCTTTGCTAAGACGCATGTTAGCTACCCATGCCGCCATGCCCCCCTGTCTTCATTATCTCTGTACGCCCCCTTCGCCCCTCCTTCCCTCTTGCCCCAATCCCTCTCCCTCTCCCTCACCCACCACTCCTCACCCCTCGCCCTCTTGTCTGTGTGCAAGCAGGACGTGTGTGTGCCCTTGTCACGCCTGGCAGAGTGCATGGACGCCACAAAGAGCGACGTGCAGCGCTCCGCCCTGCCGTGCCCCATGCTGGCGCACGCGGGCGACGGCAACTTCCACGTGTGCATCTTCTTTGACCCCTCCAGCGCCGAGGAGACCGCTGAAGCCAAGGCGCTCTCTGCTGCCATCACTCTCCGCGCGCTCGCCATGGATGGTGGGTGTGCGAGAGGGGTGAGGGAGGGGGAGGGGGGAGAGGAAAGGGCAGGGTGGTGTGGAAAGTGGGGTGGTAGCTGCATAGCACTGCATGCTGTGTTGTGGCAGCGAGTCGTGGCTTGTGAGTCATGGCGAGCTGTAACTGTCTCCCTCTCTGTCCCGTTGCCCCCTGCTTCTCAGCATGTGGCAGCCTCACTCACGGCATGCAATACTCATCACATCCCCCCGCATTACCCCGTCCGCCCATACAACAATCCTCCCCTCACGGCCTCCCCCATCCCACGCCCATGTCCCCATGGCCATGCAGGCACGTGCACGGGGGAGCACGGGGTGGGCGTGGGCAAGACACAGTACCTGGAGAGAGAAGTGGGGGCGGGGGCGGTGGCGGCCATGCAGGCAGTGAAGGACGCTCTCGACCCACACGGCATCCTCAACCCTGGCAAGGTGCTGCCTCCCCGCCCCCCCTGCCTCTCCTGACTCCTCACCTCATCCCTCACACGCCTCTCATTCATATGACCACCCTGCTACACACCCAGCTGCCGAATGCTGCCCAGCCGCCTGGTGGGCACACTAGTGCATCCTCAAGAGCAGGGAGGGATGTTTGTGTTGCTCAAGACAGCACCTCTGCGCCCTGCATGCAGTGATCTGTTTGCCCAGTATTGGTCGTCGTTCCCACGCATTTAGATAACACATGAAAATATAAAGCGTCAGACACAATATTGGTGAAGGTGCAATGAACAAGACAAGCAGTTAGTCAAACTCGTTTGACCATTTGTCAATTCCATAGCATAGCAGTCACAAGACAAGTCAGCAGCAGTAGGTTCCTTGTACCAGGGTCTACGATCTGGGCTGCTGGTACCATGGTAACTGCATCGCAAAGCAGCAAGAGGCTGTTGCAATGAGAGCCTTCACCCAGCAGAGTGGTCATTTGCCACACGGCATGCCACACATCAGTTAGGGCAAGGGGGGCCCGCCTAGAGGAAGGGGAGGATAAATACGGCATGTTAAGCGGAAGTAGAGGGGAGAGATGGAAGGGGTGAGGACATGAGGGTGACGGAGGTGGCAGGAGGGAGCATAGCAGCAGAGGGAGAGGCGGGCAGGTCTGCATCAGTGGATTGCTGTTGGTGGGTGAGGGAGACAGAGCGCGAGGGCGGGAGGGACGAGGAGGGAGTACGGGGGACGGGGAGGTGAGGCACAAGGGGGAAGGGGGGCGGCAGCAGCAGCTGTGCTGCCAGGGCGGCATCACTCTCCCGTTCCTCCTCTGCTGCCTCTGCTGCTTGCTCTGGTTCAACCTGGGTGTGAGGCGTGAGGGGCGTGTCAGTGATGTCAATGCTGAAGTGGTCAGACGCGCCTGGGCTGCCCAGGGGAGTCTCGTCTGCTTCCACCGCCACCACGCCTGCTGTGCCTGTGCGCAGGCCTGCTGTTGGCAGTAGCGGCACAGGAGCATTGCAAGCAGCAACAGCAGCAGCATGAGGGCAGGGAGTGCGGCTGCTGTCAGCACTGCCCGGGTCACTTGTTGACCCGCCTATTGCCTCCAATGCACCCTCCTTCACATCCTCCTCTTGCTGCAGCTGCAGCTGCTGCTGCTGCTGCTGCTGCTGCTGCTGCGCCACCTGTTCCTGTTCCTGCCCACGCACCTCAACGCCTACATCATCAACCCTTGCTGCCTCCCCCACGCCCTGCCTCTGCTGCTCCACATTGGCTTGGGAGGAGAGCAAGTTGGGATGCTGCTGGATATGGTGGTGGTGGCAGTGGTGGTGGTGATGCTGCTGCTCACCATGTGCGTGCTGCTGCTGTTGCATCTCATGCTCATGGCAGTGATGGTGATGGTGATGGTGGGGGTGGTGATGGTGATGGGAGTGGGGGTGGGGGACCACGGGAGCACCTCTATCCGTCTGCTCCCCAGCAACCTGCTGTCCAGCAACACTGCTTTCCATCACCACCGCCACCTGCTGTTGCTGCCTCCCCTCCTGCGCCTCCACAGCCCCTCCCCTCTCCACTCGCTCCTCCACACCACCACCTCTCACATCCACCTGCCCATCCTGCTGCCTCTGCTCTGCTGCCTGCTCCTGCCACTCCTGCCGCTGCTGCCGCTGGTGTCGTCGCTGCGATCGCATCTCTTGCCGCCGTCGCCGCTCCCGCTGCAGCTGCCGCTGCTGCGCCTGAGCCTGGGCCTGCGCCTGAGCCAGCTGCTGCTGCTGCTGCAGGTGCTGCAGGCGCAGGGCGTGCAGGCGCACCAGCTCAGCATACCACGGCCGCCCGCGCAGCTGGAAGCGGCTCAGTGGCGCGTGGCGGAACATGGCTGACAGCGTGCCCGGGAATATGCCCAGACGCTGGTGGAAGGGGGAAAGGGGAGGGGGGGGAAGGAGGGGAGAGGTGGGGGAGGGATGTGAGCGGCCATGCGTGTGAGAGGAGGCGCGTGAGGACGTGGCAGAAGCGGGACGGTGCTGAGTCAGCAAGGTAAAAACGGAGGGGGCAGGGTACGTAAGAGAGGGGCGAGAGAGGCTGCGTGCGCGGTGGTGGTGGGGGGGCGGATGAGAGTGGGAGAAGGGCAGGGGGGGAGCAGGTGGAGTGGAGGGCTTACAGCGAGCCAGGTGCGTCTGTTGGGGGGAGGCATGGGGCGGCCCATGAGGCGCGAGAAGAGACGCCTCTCCGCATCCTCCACCTGGTGGGCGCACCACAGCGGGCATCGAAGGGGGAGAGGGGTTGGCACGGGTGGATGTTGGTGCGAGTCAACGGTGAGAGGGATGGAGATGTGCATGGATGGAGATGTGCATGGATGGAGATGTGCATGGATGGAGATGTGCATGGATGGAGATGTGCATGGATGGAGATGTGCATGGATGGAGATGTGCATGGATGGAGATGTGCATGGATGGAGATGTGCATGGATGGAGATGTGCATGGATGGAGATGTGCATGGATGGAGATGTGCATGGATGGAGATGTGCATGGATGGAGATGTGCATGGATGGAGATGTGCATGGATGGAGATGTGCATGGATGGAGATGTGCATGGATGGAGATGTGCATGGATGGAGATGTGCATGGATGGAGATGTGCATGGATGGAGATGTGCATGGATGGAGATGTGCATGGATGGAGATGTGCATGGATGGAATGTGCATGGATGAAGATGTGCATGGATGGAGATGTGCATGGATGGAATGTGCATGGATGGAATGTGCATGGATGGAATGTGCATGGATGGAGATGTGCATGGATGGAGAGGGTGGGGAAAGGGAGCGGTGAGGATGGTGGATGGATGACCGTGGAGGAAGTGAGGGAAGGGAGTGGGAACAGGGCCGAGCAGGCAATGAGATGAGAAGAGCTCATTGCAGAGGAGAGCTGGGCTTGGGCATGCAGGGCACGCACCTTGAGGGCGCAGTAGCGCAGGCGCAGGGCGAGGAGGATGACGAGGAGGCGGAAGAGCAGGAAGGGGCGCAGCGCCTCGAGGGCAGAGATGAAGGTGATGATCAGCTCCACCACTATGTACAGCGTCAACAGACTCTGGCCGGCATGGGGGGGGAGAGAATGGGAAGGGGTGAGGGAGGGAAGGAACTGTGCATGGGAAATGGAGATCATGCTGTTGGCATCGCATCGGCAGGGGTGCACGGTGCGTGGCAGGCAGAACGGGGCAGGGGTAGAGGGTGTGAGACACGTAAATGGTAGAGGGCGTGGACTGGACCAGGACTGCACTCACCACATTCTCGAGGATGGCTCCTGCAAAGCCGATCATGTCCAGTGAGAGGTACAGCACCCTGTGGGGGAAGGGAAGGCGAGGGGAAGAGCGTGGGAAGTGGGGGGGGGAATGGAGGGGGAAAGCGAATGGGAGAGAGGAAGGTGAAGAGTTGTTTTGGTAGGATCGTGCAGCAACGGTGGCCAGGAGGGCGAACTGGTGCATCAAGTAGTAAATCAAGTATGCGGGAGGTGGTGATAAGAGAGAGAGGGAGCGAGTGGCTGACAGGTAGGCCATGGCGACCCAGATGTTGGAGGAGGTGAGCATGGCGTGCGACACATAGTCAAAGTTGGTGTCCAGCCCCCCCGTGCCCCCCCCCGCCGCCGCCTGCCCCTGCCCCGCCGCACCCGTGTCCACCGGCACCACCTCCACGCTCTTGCCTCGGTTCGCCATCACTCCCGCTGCAGTCGGCACAGGGTAGACGGAGGAGGGTGCAGGGAGGTGGGTAGACGGAAGAGGTGTAGTGGTTTGAGCGCTGTCCTACCGTGTGCTAGTTTGATACCACCTCAGTGGTTTGCTGCCAGCAAGCACACACTGGCGCCACATTAGAAAAGCAATAGATAGGGAAGGAAAGCAGTGCTGGAGAATGTGCATTGCATCACAGTCAGGGAAATGTGGCACACGAAATATTGCTTTTCGAAGAAGCCAATAGCGAGTTGTTAACAGAATGTGACCTGCATGAAACAGTGTCCACTCGCCAGCAGGAAAAGCTAGAAACCAAGCGAGGTGATGAGGCAGGGGAGTGGGGCATGGCAGGGCATGGCACGGACCGATGAAGGAGACGATGTAGAAGATGGAGCCAAGCAGCAGCAGCGCGATGAACAGGCGCTTCACACGCTGGAACCACTTCACACACCGCGGGTCGAATATCGCCTCCATGCCCGCCACGTCCACTCCCTCCCACCCGCCCCTCGCACTGGCAGGCGGAGGGGGCAGCACCACGTGCACCGCCTCCACCCACATGTCTCCCTCCGCCTGCCCTGATGCCTCCCTCAGTGGAGCTGGCGCAGACAAGGAGAAGAGGGGGTGATGAGGACAGGCGGATGAGGAGGCAAGGCACAACGGGGGGGGGGGGGAGAGGAGGCTATGGAAGCACGGAAGCAAGAAAAGGAGTGGCAAGCAGAGGGTGTTAGGGACGGACAGCACAGCTAGTGTTCTATGGAAGCAGGTGGTGCAGTAACAGCACAGCCCCCTGGGCGCGGAGCAGGCTTACCGAATTGGAAGTCGAGCAGCGCAGCCTCGGCACCATCACCATCGTTGTCTGCACTCGCCTTGCTCTCCCCACCACTGCTCCGGCTGTACCCGCTGCTGCAGCTCACAGCGCTGCTATCGCTCTCCCCTCCCTCCTCCTGCTCAGCCCCGTCCCCATTCCCCCCCACACTCCCATGTGCGCATCCGTGCTGCCTGTTCCCCGCCTCTGCTCCTTGCTCCCCATCAGCGCTCCTCCGGCATTCCATACAATACCCCTCGTTTTCGTCACACTCGTCATAAGGCGCCCAGCCCCTTTCCCTATCCTCCGAATTACGCTCGTCATATTCACTCTCAGTATCAGCATCGCCAGAGTCAGAAGTACCCCCACCTCTTGCTGCTGACGTGCCAGCACCACCACGAGCCAACCCTCTCGTGCCTCTCAGGTGCTGTCGCCTGCTGCGTCCCCACCGCACCACGGCATCCACCCCGCCTCTGCACCGATCCATCAACACTTCTATTCTCCTCCTCCCTCTCCTCCTCCTCGCCCCCTCTTCCTCCTGCTCCATTTCACTGCTGTCATACTCGCTGTCGTCATACCCGTTACTGTGATTATCCTCTCCGCTGTCTGCACCATCCACCTGCGCGCTCTCAACTCCCCGCCTTGATCCGCCAGGGGCCCCGCGGTCGCCGTGTGCCCCCGCGCTTCCCCTCGCGCCGTCTGCACGCGCGCGCCCGCCAGCGGCGATTAACTCCGTGCCCACAAAGAAGGACGCGCCGGGACCGTGAATCACCACAGACATTGGACGACGGGTTTCAGGAGCTTCCTCTTCCACTTCGCCGCTTTCGTCTTCCATCACACTGACCTCTGCTTCTCGTGCCGCATCTGCCCTCCGCCTCCTCCTACCATCTCTCCTCCTCGGGCCTTGAGGCGCGGAGTTGCCCTGCTGAGCGGAGACCGCGCCTCCTCCTATCAGTCCGCAAGCGCGCATTAGACCGCGGCCACCCTCCGCCGAACCCGCTCGAGGACTCGACTCCGCTTCGTCCGCTAAAGCCATTTCCGTTTCAAACAATGAATCTCCTCCGCTTTCCAGCCGTTCATCTTCCGCCGGGTTTTCGCGCTCTTGGCTGCTATCGGCGACTCCTGTGCCATTTCCCCTCGTAAATCCCCCAATGCACGTGCAGGCGCTGCACGACGAGGGCGACAATGGATGGCGATCGATGTCGTGTAGCGAAGGCGACGACTCGTCCAGGATGACGTCAGCCGTTGAGGGTGGTAGTGTGACCGGCAGACCGCTAGGATTTGAAGCAGGGTGTTCGACGACGGTTAATAACGAAGCCTTGGTGCCGTCATCACGCACCGGAATAGCAACTCTATCGCGCTGCGAAGGACCAGGTGGAAGAGGGCTGTTCACTTCGTTGTAGTCACATTCGGCCCTCGTGTTGCCCGTAGTGGTGGTAGTGCTGGCATCTCCTGCAATAAAGCCCATGCCCCACCCAGTGCTGCTGCTCCTCTCCTTGCCATAAGTCGTCTCGCTGATGTTGAGTTCTGGACCGTCGATTGTAATCTCAACAGCGTCCGTTGATCTTGTACCATGACCATCCTGAAGAGCAATCGCACGGCTGTCGGCTAACTCGACCTCCTGGCACGCGAGCTTGTACGACTCTGACTGTAGCAGAGGCCAGCCCTCCCCGGCCTGGTCGGGCGTCGTCAGTACACTCGTTTCCGGAGCTCCGGCCAAATTTCCCCGCATATCACATTCATCCTTCATGCAACCTCTCGCCAGGGAAACCGTGCAATCACCCATTTCCAAAGTACTGCAACCGCTGATTGACGAACAGTCCAGATCGATCAGGACATTCTCGAGGCAACAGAACTTGTCAAAACAGTCATAGAAACGGCATAATAACTGTTACTAGCGATGCCAGGTTATGCTGAAATAATTATGAGTCAGCGACTGATGGCAAGAGGCAGAGAAACTAATAGAAGCCACTGATTGGAAACCGTCGCACCAGGTTAGGCAGAGCAATACGAGTTACCGTCGTCACTGGGAACTACTAATAATTACCTTGTTAGGCATCTGCCCACACCGCTTGCACGCTCTCTATGATCAAGCAACCACCATGGAGATGACCAGAGCCGGACAAGTGACTGGATGGACAGAAGTGAAGCAAGGTGGGGTTCTCGAGGCAAGAAAGTGAGCGTGCCATATACCCTCAACACTGCCAGCAGCCGAAAGCAGTCCGCCAGTACCAACCATTGTTGGAGAACACACTGCAAATCCGCCTACTGGCATATTCCTGAGCGACGGACGAAAGTTTATGCGAATTGTTCGCACAGCGATAATGCATCTTCCGTTGGTGGCATTCTCCCCTCGGCACAATCCCCAGGCGCGGTTGGTCGCCTTTGGATCACTGCCTCACGAAGCTCGCCGAATCGCCGTCTTAGGAAGGATGCCTGCGACCGCCAGCAATGCTGGTTTCCATCGCATCAGATTTTCGCAGTAAAAGTGCTCTGGTTGCTTGGGGGGGATCCAATGTCGCACATCCATACGCGATAGCTTATGAAGGCGTTGAAGTATACCGAGGCAAAGCTATATGACGAGTAGTAGGAGCCAGCAACTGTATTTGAGGCTCTTTGCCTTTGCTTATATGAAGGACTCAAGCCTTATTGATCCTTGATAAATGCATCCATGAGATTGAATCATGTCTATGTAACGAACATTTACGTCTACGTTTGAACGGCAATACAGAAAGTATGCTATATATCGCATACAAGGCTTTTTACGTATGCGTCATGCATAGCGCTTGTAGCTTATGTTTGAGTCAGCTTCCATCGAAACCTTGGGAGCTTCTTTTGGAATGGCACATCCTTGTCAAACGAAGTTTCGTGGTCGAATACGTGCGACAGTATCCACATTTGCGACGCTCGCCAGTCGTATGGAATTCCGTCCTTGGGCCATTCTGCCGTTCGCGAGCATTTGCGAAACTGTTCGGCGGCCATTTGGGTTGTCAACAAAAGCATAGTTCGCAAGTTCCCGCCACTCTTTTCTGTGCGGCAAGCTTGTCAGGTATGGTGGCAGGCAATAGGTTCAAATCACATTCTTGTACCCGTCCCTCGCTCCTGCTGACCATGTAATCCCAGGGTTCTCAGATTCTGCCTGATCATTCTCAAGTTAGCAACACCTGACGCTAGTCCCTGTAATCCGACAGTGTCCTACCATATCTAGGTGCGAAAGGCTTTTTGAATCTGCAGCTTACTCTTCTCTTTCCCTCCACTCTCTGAAGCATCTCCTCGAGTCGTCTTCGCATGGTTCACCCGTGATGTGATCTCACTGAAGCGCAGAATTGGACCATATACGGTCAGGGAGGTTGCTGCTTGTGTTGGAGGATCGTGTTTAGTCGACACACAAGGTAGATTCGGCGGAGGGAGCGGCATCCGATCAGCATCAGGGAGGTTTAAGAGTGAGGCGTCGCGGCTGAAACTGGATCGCGACCCAGGCCCGACCACACCCAGTCCTTGTTTACGCGGAAGCGACGAGGAGTGTCGAAGAGGGGAGCAGATCGTCTCGCGTTTACCCCGTGATTGCAGATCTGCCAGGAGTCTCCGTTCAAGGCCCTGCTATCTTCTTCCCCATTGTCCTTGAGCACCCTTCATCAGGTCGCAAACCTTATCAAGCGTACCGTACTTCCGCCGGGGTTTTCCTTCCCGACTTCGCAGATGTCGCCGATAGGTCTATTGTGACATTCACTTTCCACTTTCCCCCCTGGGGTTTTTCCACAGCGCCTCGTATGGGGTAGTTCACTCTGTTGTCCCGTGGCTGGAACCAGGGCCAGAGGGGTGCAGCAGCAACAGTGGGGGGGGGGTGGGAGCGGGGGGAGGGCAGACGTGGGAAAATAGCAACGGTCAACGGCAGCAGAGACACAGGGACCGCATTACCACGTAGAAACGATCGGGTTACCACCAGGGGGCATGGATGATCTCGAGCGGGCCATTCTCTTCAGCTTCGACCAATCAGGAGCCGTCGACGTCTCGCTCCGTGCACGCGCGCACGCGTTCTGCGCGGAGGCTCGGCGCTCCCCGCAGCTATGGCGCGTGTGCGTGGAGCGGCTCATCTCGTCGAGCTACCCTGAGGTGCAGTTCTGGTGCCTGCAGGCGCTCGAAGAGCTCCTGCTGCGCCAGCGACTGCGCGCGGACGGCCAGCCGCAGGCCGCGGGGGGGGTATCTTCCGCGCCCGGCGACGGCGGCGCTGGCGCAGGGGCGGAGGGTGAGTTTCTTCCGCCCGAAGCGCTGGCGGAGCTCCGCGAAACCCTAATGGCGGTAGCCTTCAGGTGTCCCGTGGGATCAGGGCTGATGCCAGGGGCGGGGGGGCCGCAGGGCATGGCAGATGCGCAGGCAGGAGGGCAAGCGGGCGCGGGGGTGCCGCTGTGCGCGTCATGGCCGGTATTCATCCGCAACAAGGTGGCGCAGGTGATCGTGCTGCTCATCCGCCTGCACTACCCCACACCGTGGCACACCGCATTCGACCCCATCGTCTCCGCGCTCATGGCGGTCGGCGCAGCGGCCAACTCCCAAGCCTCCGCGGCCGGCGGTACCACCAGCTCCATGGCGCAAGCGGGTGGCGCGGAGGGCGCGGGCGCGTGGAGCGTGGTGAGTCTGGACATGGCGTGCCGCGTGCTGGCGGCGCTGGACCAGGAGGTGCTGAGCATCGAGTACGCGCGCACGGCGGAGGAGTCGGCCGCCGCCATGCGCGTCAAGGACGGCATGCGCGAGGGCTGCATTGCGCCGCTCGTGCACGCCTGGTACTGCGCCGCCGTCGCGCTGCTAACGGGGCTGGGGGCGGGGGGAGCAGGAGGAGGAGCTGGGGCAGAGCAGGGTGGGATGCCGGGCAGTAACGGTGTGGGCGGGGGAGGGGGAGATGTGGTGTTGAGGGACGGGAGGGGGAGCGCGGTGAGCAGGGACGACGCGGCGGCATCTGTAGCGGCGCTGCTGGAAACGCTACAGCCGTACGTGGCGTGGATAGACATCGGGCTCGTGGCGGATTCCCGTTGGCTGCCGCTCCTCTTCGGCCTCCTAGCAGCACACACCAGCGACGTGCGCCTGCGATCCGCGGCGTGCGGGTGTATCCTCGCTATAGTGAACAAGCGCATGGACGCCGTGAGCAAGGTGGCGCTGCTGCAGCGCGTGCAGATCGCGCAGGTGGCGGGCGTGCGCGTGGTGGAGGAGATCGCGCGCGCGGACGAGGGGCTCACGCTGCGCCTGGCGGAGCTTCTGACGGGCGCCGCCACGGAGATCATGGAGTGCATCAAGAAGCTTGAGGCGGGGGGTGGCGGGGGCGGCGCAGGCGGACGGGCGGAGGGGGTTCTGCAGGGGTTCGGGATGGAGGACGGGAAGGGCGCGGGCGCGGGGGAAGGGGGAGGCGGGGAGGCGTCAGAGTCTGTAGCAGTGGCGGCGACGGCGGCAGCACAGGGCATGCTGGATGCCATTCTGCCGGCCGTGTTCTTCCTGGCGCAGAGGCACCCCGACGAGGACGTGTCCGCCAACTGCTTCCAGTTCCTCCTCTTCTTCGTCGCTGACATGCGCCGCGTCGGCGGCGCCAGCAGCCGAGGCGCCGCCGCGCTCGCCGCCACTGCAGCAGCCGCCGGAGCAGCAGACGCGGCGGCGGCAGCGGTGAGAGAGCGGCAGGAGCAGCAGCTGCGGCAGGTGCTGCTGGTGGTGGGGGAGCGGATGCGGTACCCTGAGAGCAGCTGTGAGGCGCTGGATGCACCGACGAAGGAGGGCGAGGAGGAGGAGGAGCGCGTGGGCGAGCAGCGCAAGGACCTCTTCGTGCTGCTGCGCTCCGCCGCCAAGGTCAACCCCGCCGTCGTCCGCGCCTTCGTCCATGAAACCCTAGCCGCAGCGCTGGCGCGCGGGCCGCACGCGACGTTTGCAGAGACAGAGGCGGCAGTGCAGCTGTTCTATCAGCTGGGCGAGGGCGTGACAGAGGAGGCTCTCAAGCCCGGCAGCGGCGCGCTGGGGGAGATGACCGCGCTGCTCCTCTCCTCCCCCTCCGCCTCCTCCCCCTCCCAGCAGCAGGGAGCGAGCGGGGCAGCAGCAGGGGCAGCGGGAGGGGGGTTGAGGTACAGAGGGCACCGGCTGGTGGCGGTGGCGTGGCTGGAGGTGATAGTGCGGTACGCGCGGTTCGTGCAGCAGCACCCTCAGTACATCCCTGCTGCGCTTGATGCGTTCCTGGGCCCGTGGGGCGTGGGGCACGGCAACAGCGCGGTGGCGGGGCGAGCAGCGTACCTGCTGATGCGCGTGGTGAAGGTGCTCAGGCAGCAGCTGCTGCCGCTGCTCGACTCCATCCTCATGGTAGGGCACGGTGTGACATGGTACGGTATGCATTCATGGAGGGAATTGATGGTGTGGCATGGAGAGGGGAGGGGTGGGGAAGGGGATGCTCCAGCAGCAGGTCATGTTGTAGCGCTGGCCTGCTCCATCATTCCTGGTGAGAACTGTAATGCATGTCATTGAGAATTGACGTAATCACTCTCCTTGTGGCCCCTTCTCTCACGCCTCCCCTCCCTCCCAACCCCCCCCCCCTCCTTCGCATGTTCCCAGGGTCTGCAGCGCATGTTAGAGGCCATCACCTCCACGCCCCCAGCAGCAGCAGGCAAGGGGGCGGGCGGGCAGGGCAGACCAGCAGGGCCGTTTGGGCGGGGAGAAGGCGCCTTTGACGACCGCATCTATGCATACGAGGTGAGCAGCTGTGCTGGTGAGCGTGCTGTGTTGCTGTTTGTGCTGTCATTCTCATGCCGACTGCCCTCATCAGCAGCTCAAGCTGTAGCCCTTCCTGTAGCACCGTAGCTGCAACCTCTCTCGCCCCTCCACTGCTCTCCCTCCTCCCCACTCACGCACTCACAGGCAGTGGGGCTGCTGTTGGCGCAGGAGGAGGTGCCAGCTCAGCAGCAGGCAGCGTGCTTATCAGCGTTGCTCACACCGCTTATCGCACGGGTGAGTGGGCAAGAAACCTGCAAGGTCTTCGATTTTGGAACGCTGCTGTCAAACCAGGGAGACGTGGCTCCCCCAATGGCCGGACTGGCAGCACGATATGCATCTCTAAGGCATCTGCTCCATTCCTTTGCCTATCTCCATCGCTCACCTGCTCATACCTGCCTTCACCTGCTACCCGTGCCTTCCAGGCAGATGCGTTGGCACAAGAAGCGCAGGCGGCAGAAGCAGGAGGGGGGGGAGCGGAGGCGGCAGCGGGCATGGTGGCGGCGCTGCAGCAGGTGATCATGGCCATGAGCTACCTGTCCAAGGGCTTTGCGGCGCACATGGTGACGACGGCGCGGCCAGAGCTGGCACAGCTGTTCAAGGGCGCCGTGGAGTGCGTGCTCCGCGTGCTGCACGCCCTGCCCCGCAGCCGCCCCACTCGCTCCAAGGTACTCCCGTTAGCAACGCCCACACAGTGATTGAGCAGAGCCAGGGCTGGAAGAGCCGTGATTGTTAGTGAAGCAGGATGGAGGTGTGAGAATCAGCTACCGTGCCTGCCTTGCTCCCAGAATATAAGCAGCCATGAGTCCTTTCGATTGGATATCGTACCATGCACAACGCCAATCCATCGCACTCCTTCCGCTCCCCTTTTTCCTTATACCGATGCTATTTTCACTCACCCCACCTCGATCTTATCACACCTCTCTCCCGCACCCCTCCTCCAACCCCACCCCCCCGCACCAGGTGACGTCGTTTCTGCACCGCATGGCGGACTGCCTGGGGGCGCACATCATCCCCTTCCTGCCGCAAGCACTGCCGCTCCTCCTCGCGCACTGTGAGGTACACCTCTGCTCCTATTCACGCACTCGATGTGCTTGCCCATTTTCTGTGTCTCCACCTTGCTACCATCATCTCCACTCCACACACATGCGCCTCTCTGCCATTCAACCTTTCCCCTTTCCACACCCTACTGTATGCCCCTCCCTCCACCCTCCACATCCGTGCACTGCAGGCACGAGACATGGTGGAGTGTGTGCAGCTGCTGTCACTGCTCACGGCCAAGCACCGCGCCCACATGGCGCCCATCGTCGACGCCCTGCTCGTGCCGCTCTTCGCCCGCCTCTCCGTCCTGCTGCCCTCGTCGCTCCCCTCGCTCATGGGGCCACCCAACACCACCTCTGATGCCTCTGGCACCCCCGAGGTGCGTGCGTGTGTGAGAGTGAGGGTGCTGGGAAAGGGGAGGAAGGGTGCATGCGTATGTGCTTGTGCACTGTTCAGGGGCACAAGGAAGCCCTTTGCCTGGCAAGAATTTTCCCTTGTTGGCACATTTCTTCTCGAGCCCATACCCTCATTGCACTCATCCATCCGCTTCCTCGTTTGCTCCCCTCCCGCTCTACTGAAACGCTGCAGGAGGTGCGAGAGCAACGGGAGGTGCTGAGGGCAGTGGTGATGCTGCTACACGGCATCACCATGGCGGACCTGCACGCCACCTTCCTCTCCCCCACCAACGCCTCGCAAGTGCTCCCACGCATCATCACTCTCCTGCTTGACACCGCTGCCCTGCATGTTGACATCTCGCTGCGCAAGGTGGCCGTTGCCTGCTTCATCCGCTTCGCCTCCGACTGGTGCTCCTGCGACCCTGAAAAGGTATTGCACCTTTTGGGGCAGCTTGAGAAGGAATGTATTACCTGAAGGGATGCCATTCAACCGAAAGAAATGTATTACCACGACGATGTGATTTCCATCTGACGGAATGCACCACGGCTAACACCGCTGTTTTCTTCTTCTCTTGCCTCTCGCTTCCCTTAATCCCCCCCCAAACCCCCGCCGCCATGCGTGTTTCCAGGCGCCGGGGTTCAGGGCGTTTTTGTTGGAGCAGTTTCTGCCCACGGCGTGCCTGCTGCCGTGCCTGCAGCCCTCCTTCTCCCTGCAGGACGCCAACTCCGTGAGCCACCTCCGCTCCCTCTGTTCCCCACTCTTGCTCTGCTCGCCAGTGCCCTCCCCACCCTCGTTCTGCTCACTGCTTCCTGCTGCCTCCCTTCAGAGCACAGCCAAGTGCAAGCCTGACTGTTTCCAACTCACTATTCCCCCAACCCTGTCCTCTCCACTCGGCACCCCAACTTCTCCAACCCCCCCAATTTCCATGCCAGGCTCTGCTAGTGAACGACATTTCACTCGCCCTGCTGGCGCTGCACCACACGTGCGGCCAGCTGCTCTCCGATCGCCTCCTTTCTTCTCTTCTGCCCTCATTTAACTGTCCACCCACGTTAGCCGCCAACTTCTGTTCCCAGCTCCAGGTGTGTGCTACTGCTGATGTTGTCAGTGTACCTGTGGGTGTGAACACGTATATATTTCCTCACTCTCTCTTTAAAAGCTGACAATTCTGCTGGCCGCACACCACCATCCGGGGTCTTAGTCCAGAAGCTGTTCTGGGTAAGGCAGTGTGATTGTTTTGTGCTTTCTAATGTTGTGTTTCGTTGCATTCGTGCTTGCAGAGAGGAGATGCAAAGATAGCACGTGATGCATTTAGAGAGTTATTGGTTCAGCTGCGAGCACAACATGCACCCACGCAAGGCAACGTAGCAATGGTTCCAAGAGGTTTTGGTTAGGGTTGACTTGCCTGCCAAATTTTTGTTAATAGTGCAATTTTTATAATGTATCCATGGCTTTTTGGAGCATACCATTGTTTCTCAAAATTCTGCACGTGTTACCGTTCCATTACCATGTTGATGTCTGTATCAGCATTCTCTCCCCAATATCGAGGAGTTGCGAATGCGGCGATTCGATTGGTTCGTTGGTAGAATCCAACGGACTATAGAGGCGCCCAGGTGTTGCAATCTGTATGGGTGTGGCAGATCCACCACCCTTGTTCTGTATCTTTCCAGCAAGAGGGCAATGAATGATGATGCCGACATGACGTCAAAACAGAGACTCTTCCAACCATACAAAAACGCTAAGAGAAATATTTGCACCATACGGTATCCAGTCATAAGAAGGGGTACTTTGAGGCGAGATACATCCAATGCTGAGTCAGTTGAGTAAAATCAGCTTTTCCAAGAGGAGGATCACCATTTCTTGGTTTAGCATGAGTCATAACTCCCCTCCAGATACCGCCGCCTTTGCCGCTTACTCAACCTTACTGGTGCTGAGCTGGGCAAGCGTGACGTGCCTGTTGCTCTTGGCGAGCATTCCAAGGTTAGCGAGTCGTTGAAGTTAAAGGCGGAGTGCAACTTCTTAGGAACAGTGGCGAGACAAACATGGAGTGTGTGTAACGAGACCCTTATTGGATGAAAAAAATGGAATCTCGGAAAAGACAAACTTCTCGCCACATAACTGCCTGGGACAACCAAGTTCCAAGCTATAATGCTTCGAAGTTGAAGCTGATAGTTGGGCCACGGCTTTAATAGACCAGGCCGACTGCCACAGATTATTAAGCAATGGGATTTCGTACGGGCTGAACAAGGACTCCCTCTCAGAGAGGCTTACAACAACCCAAGCTAGCAGGAAGTGATGGCCAACAAAGTATCTAAGAAATCTTGGTCCGATCTAGAACCTTCGGGTTCGCCTGAACTGAGACTCTCAACCGCTCGAAACCTGCCAAGTTGCTGCGGCAGTTGGGCATTCCAATATTTTCCATCTCTCGTGGCGATTTTGTCAGTTACAATTGCCTCGCCGCTTTTGCCATCGCTGTGTGTGGCAATCTGCGTTATCATGGTCCACTAGCCGTTCAAGCATGCAAAGAGTTGTAGCTCTTGGGAACGACGACGAGCCAATGTGCAACCATGGTCGCCATGGACGAGTCCACTTGTCGGCGCCTCTCTCACTTCCACTACTCCCACAGACGAAAGCTTCACGTGCTTATCGTTCACGTGCTGTTGCTTTTTGAGCACTCCACGCACGGAAAAGCACTTCCTTTATTTCAAATCGGCCCGTGACGTCGTCCTCGCTGCAAGCACCTATATGAGTTATCTCGTTCCAAGTAATCCAAGGCTTCCTCCACTGCTGCATCGAGATGGCGCGTTTGGAGTGCAACGATCAGGAACTCGCCTACTTGACCTACCTATTGGGGAACGAGCTGCTTGATCTGGATCTCCCTGCCGCAGCCGCCGCTCAGCCTGGACCTCAGAAGTCATTGCGAGCTGCCGAGGTACAGAACAGGTCTTTGTCGGCAGAGCCGGTGCTGGTGCCTGTTGCTCCCACCAATGGCAGACTGACTGAAGGCACCTTCGTCACGCAAGTTGCCGAGGCGCAATTGCGAAATTGTCCGGCGCACGCCAGGAGCACGGTGCGGGGAGCTGGGGCGTTTCACGGGAGAAGCTTGTCTGCGCCATCTAACGAAGTGGCCGGGTCCCCAATAGCAGCTCCAGTGGTTTTCGGTTCCATGGTTGAGCCAGCCACTTTGTTGTCCTGGCGCCCCCCTTTGGAGTATGGTCCCCTGGCTGGTGGCGCAGCAGCCCCCGCTCCCGACCCTGCTGCATGTCGCCCCACAGCAAATGCCACCGCAGCCGCATTGGCTGCCTGTGACATTGGGGCAAGTCAGCAGGGTGGAAATCTGAGTCAGATTCTACTAAATACACCTGAAGCTTTTGAAATGCGGAGAAACAGAGCAATGCTTCATGCTCTGTCAGACGCCCCAGGCCGCAGCACCTTGAGTCCGGTGAAGTCTCAAAAGCAGAGCCATAGCTTTCACTCGAGAGCTGGAGGTGGTGGCATTACTAAGAAGAGTTCGACTGAAAAGTACAGGAGAGCTCGTGTCAGGTATGGGTGTCCTGTTTTGGCAAGTACTCCATCCGTACATGCCACACAGAAAATCTGACGTCTGAGTTATACTGTGTGTTGCTTATGGCAGTCAGGGATTTTCAAATTTGCGTGAAGTCATACCACGGGAGTTTCTTAGCAGCCACATTCAGAAGACGAGAGGATTTACTCAAGGGCTGACTTGTGTACATTGCTTAATGCAGCATCAGACTACATCAACTACATGAAGGTAAATCGATTTGGTTTGGACCAACGTTCATTCATATGCATCTCTGGAGTGGCATATTAACATCACTCGTGTGTAAATTGTATTGCACAGGGATACAAGGCCGACCTGGAGGCACAGCTTTTACAAAGTAGTTCGACATTGATGAAATCAGACGTATAGATTCGGTTTAGGGAAATGAATAAGTTCTGGCGTGTAAATCTGAATATCATCGCTTGATTGTTTGTGGTGTGCTACCTCGATGCAATCACAATTTTGGACAATTGCAATTGACCTGACGCGGCGCAACTGCTCGTAACTAACTTAAAGAACCCACCAATGACGTTGCACCTCGAGGCTGCCCTGTTGTCGCCTGAACAACGCCGCTCCTGTCGCCCAACCGTCCTACATGCCCTGTGCGACTTGAATTCCCGAAACGCACCAATATGTGACGCTGAGAGATGGAGCGAAATTGTAACCTAGTGGTTCGGCGACGTCGCCAGCGGCGAAAGAAGTGTGAATTGGTGGTCAGAAGAAAACCAGATTGCTGTCAGGAACAGGTTTTGATTCCAGAGTTCATGACATGAGCAGCACGGCAACTCCAGTGGCATCAGAAGCACGAAAATACGTGCTTTAGTAGGTAGGCCTAATCTCATGTATTGTTAGGTGTTCGTTCGTCCTTTTAGGGTTCTGAATAGCTCCGGTCCTTCGTGGTAGCGCAGTAGCACCTTAGTTGAGGATTCACAACACTGGATATTCTGTTAGGAAGACAAGCCATCCACTTCCACCAAGCGGCACGAGTACACCATGGTGTACGTCGAGTGATGAAAGCTTTGCCTAGGATGACTAGTACCTAGTGGCTCTAGTGAGCAGCGTAAGAATTAGGGGTACGAAGTAGGGCACTCACAAGCATCTAGAGTTGAGCATCGTTGTTTTGAAAAAGGTAGTTACCATGTGGATGTTCTACGCGATCGCGTTGCCAGTCACACTAGGCATGGTAATTTGGACGCTCATATACTACGCATCGCCACGCGTGCTTCAGCACGTGCGGATCATCGTCGCGTACACGTGGTTCGTCAACGTCTCCATCGTCATCCTCGTCCCCGTCGACGTCTGGACGGTGCGTGTCTCGGCTGTTCAAGCATATGGACGTCGTGTTTGTCGCATGCAGTTTGGTAGTGGGTGTTTTGGCGATAGTCTTTGGTAGCGCTAAGAGTTCGTAGGCACAGTGGGTTCGTACTGGTTATTAAGCAGCAGTACTACAGGCTCGTACCTGATAAGTCATTTCGTGGATTAGTCGACCCAGGTGAATTTTGCAATTTCACCGCTCTAGTATCGTAAATCCCAACCTTCGAGCACGCATCCCGAGCAGCACCCCACTTGAGCGGGAGCTTGAGTCGTTCTCGCAGTCCCCTGCGTCTGTCGATTGGCATCATGCGTGGCTGACGCGTCAAATGTTACGCTGCGTATCGCATGCGGATTTCACGGACTGATGTGTGCTATGGTCGTGTCTAATGGCTACATGGATGTTATGGCTGCACGGGTGCCATTGTTGCCTGGTGGTCATGGCCTCGTGTGCGTCGTTGCTATAGGAGTATCATGATTGCATGGGTGTATGGCTGCATCTCTTTCGATGCATGTGTTACACGAATGCATGACTCTCCTGTATGCGTGCCTTGCTTGCCTGGATGTCGTTCACGTATATGCTCCGCGGACATGTGGTGTGATGCTGCTACGGTCGGTGCGTGCAGGCGATATGTCTGGAGGGCGAGGCGGGCCCCACGGGGATAACGTCGGGGCTGTCAGCAGCGGTGTGCGGCTCGAAGCTCTCCGTGCAGTTCCTCTGGAGCTTCTCCTACTGGAGTGCTTACTTCCTCACCTGGTCAGCCTGCACGCCTTCCCACATCATCACACTGCCTCCCTCCGCCCACGGATGATGGACTCACGTCCCCCATTTATTTAATGTGGCTGCCGATTGCTGGTGCTACCTGCAATCGTTGCCGTTCCTCACCTGTTCCACTCCTACCCTCCAGTCCTCCCATTCTCCTCTGCTCTTCAACACCCACCCCCTACGCACCTGCCGGGTCATCTTCCCATAGTGCATGGTATCAGAGTGGTGAGATTCCTAACGACCTGATGTCAAAGTTGCCTTGCCTTGCATGCACCACCCCAGGGTGATCATCCCCATCATGCAGGGGTACGAGGACGCAGGGGACTTCACGGCAAAGGAGCGGCTGCGCACGAGTGTGAGGACGAACCTGATGCTCATTGGCATTGTGGGCGCCGTGGCCGTGGTGGGCATTATCATCCTGCTCGCCACCAAGGAGATGGCCTGGTCAGTGCAACCCATGTGTGAGAAGTTTTGTTTTGTGGGGTGAGGCGGTTTGACCAAGAGCCTGGGATTGGAGATCCGTGGTGATGTTTTGGGTTCACTCCTCCTTCTCACTTATGTTCCAACTCCCTCCCCGCTCTCCCTTGTATTGCTCCTCTTGCCTCCCATTCATGCAACCCTTCCCTTGCTCCTCTTTTCCCGCAACCCACCCGGCCCCCCCAACACCGCCCCGCCCCTTTCAGGGACAACATAGTGTCGCTGGCCATAGGGGCGTCGAACGCGTTTGCGCTGATAACGGGCGCGCTGCTGCTGGGGTACGGGCTGGTGGAGATCCCAAGGGGCCTCTGGAGCCACGCGGACCTGGCAGAGCGCCACAAGTGGCTGTCCGTGCGTGTGGCCCGGGCGGCGCAGAAACTGGACCAGGCGCACCAGGAGCTCAGCACTGCCATCGTGGTCAGTGCTGCAGTCATTAGCACTGAGGCACTGCCGTCATGCTCCTCCCTCTGTTCCGTTTGCATCTCAGCCCCTGTGGATCATCCCCGTTGCTCTATCTTTCGGTGTTTGTATCGCACTCCATGAGGATCATCCCTCCTGCTCTATCTTACTTTGCTTCCTCGTCATCCCTTCCTCCTGTGCCGCTCCCCACTCCGCGTTCACCTCAGATTGCACAGGCCACCTCGCTGCAGATGCCCAGACATGATCCCCTGCGACCCATGATGGAGATTATCGATGCCATGGTGAGATGATGACATGCATAACCCATTGCATTGGCATGGCATCATATACGAGCAATATGACATTATACTCAAGTGAGATGAAACCGCAGGGGCGAGTCGGAATGGCCGACAGGGGCATGCGACAAGGAGGCACTTAGCATCTGCTTTCCTCTATGAGCACCCCCGACTGTCCTTACTTTTGCCCTCCATTCCTTGCCTTGGGGCCCCCTGCCCCACTCTGCCTCTGCTCGGTGACTGCCCCTGTGCATTGGTGTGGCACTGCGAGCAGGCGAGTGAGGATGCGGGGTTCAAGCCGTCAGGCGGGCAGATAGGCGAGAACGACATGGACTACGACGCCGACGCCAAGAGCATGGCCGCCCTCCGACGCCGCCTGCGCAACGCGCAGGACAACTACTCGCGCTGCAAGACGTGAGAGAGGGCGAGGGGAGGAGAAAGGAGAGGAGGGGGGGGGGGGAGGGCAGGAGGGATGGAGCGTGGTGGTGATAGAAGATTCAGAGGGGGTTGGGAGTGGAAGATGGGAGCCACAGGGGCTGGTTGATGAGGTAGAGCGAGAAGAATGATTACATTACCTCATGGTATGGCTCCTCATAGCCGCCATGGCCTTGCCCCTCACCAACCCCCCCCCCATATCCTCATCCCTCACACTCCCTATGATCTCGCCCCTCGCACTGATGATTTAACTCCAACGTGTCACGGATGAAGCGACTCCTCTACTTACACCACAACCAAACGTATCCCCCTGTGTGCCCTCTGCACGTTGCTGTGCCTGCCTCGTGCGCCCCTTGCTTCCGGTGTGCCTGGTGCCTTGTGGTCCTCGGCAGGGAGTACTGCACGGTGGTGTGGGAGGCGCTGCAGCTGGAGGAGACGTTGCACAACTGCTACCAGGGCACGGGCCGCTACACCTCCTACCTGCGCGCGCCCAGGAAGGGCTTCTTTGCCCCGCTCCTCGATGTCGTGGGTGCGTTGTCACGATTAGGCTCGAAATGAATTGCACCTCGGAGTTTTTGTTCGTGCCTTTCTGCAAAAAATCCTCCACCGTTTCCTTCTCCTTTCCTGCTCTCCAATGGTGTGCTGCACCCCACACACACGTCTCCATCCTCTCCCACCCCACACTCCTCCCGACCGCCTTCCTTGCCATGTAAGTACCTCTGCAGATGGTCGGCAGTGCTGCATCATCGGGTGCAGCACTGCCGCCCGACATCTGCACGCACCTCAGCATCTCTCCCTTCCGCTCTCCTCTCTTCCCTTCTTCTACACCCTGCCGCTCAGAGTGGTGGTGGCGCTGTGCCATCCGCAGCCACGTGGTGCGGGCCTTCGCGCTGCTCCTCGGCCTCATCTCCCTCGCCATCCTCTTTGCCGAGGCCACCCTGCTCTCCCAGAAATGGGTCGACCTCTCGCTCTTCTCCGTGCTCGTGCGCGCCGCCGCGCTGCACGGGGAGGCGGTGCAGCTGATAGTGTTTGTGCCGCTGGTGTACCTGTGCGTGTGTACGTACTTCTCGCTCTTCAAGCTCGGCATGTTCTCCTTCTACTACCTCGTCCCCGCACACACCGACTCCGTCTCACTCCTCATCAACTGCTCGTAAGCCCCACAGTGCCACCTTCAACCTCGTGTCCTCCTGCCCGTGCTGTTCATTGCAACTTCTTGCTTGCGTGAGTGCAGATGACCTGACTTGGAAGCTGTCGAGTCATTTTAATTATTCAAGTCTGACCCAATTTCTCACATCTCCCTCACGCCTCTGTGGTGCCACAGCATGGTGTCCCGGTACGCGGCCCCCATGTGCTACAACTTCCTCAGCCTCATTCACCTGCGCCACTACAACTACGCCACCGGCTCCGTTGAGCCCCTCATCACCGTCTTTGAAAAGGTGTGCTCCTTGTGCCCTGCACACCTCCTTCTGCGTGCCCTTCCCCTCATACTCTCCATTCCCCGCCCCTCATGACCTGCATTCTGCTCTGTTTGCCATTCATCTCCATGCCTCTGCGTCACAAGTCACATCACCACACATACCCTTCTCTATCCATGCTCCCCACTGGCCATTTGTTCGTGCACTAATCATTTCACTTACGCCCCTTCGCTCTCACGCACCCCACGCATCCACACACCAGCGCATGGGGGTGCTGCCCAAGTCGTTTGACCGCGTGTATCCGCTGTGCATGGTGGCGTGGTCGCTGCTCATCGCGCTCAACGTGCACCACCGCCTCTTTGACTCCGTCACGCACCTCCTCTCGCACTGCCGCGGCCTCTACAGCCGCACCTGGCGCCGCCTGCGCTTTGACGATGACGGCGAGGGGGAGGACGTGGGCGTGGATGGGCGCAGGGTGGTCGTCAAGGGCCACATGATCCTGCAACGAGGTGCGCACCCGCGCGGTTGATGCAAAGAACAACCTGTGGGGTTAGCAGTTGGATCCGCCCATCCCATGCTCGCATCACCCCTCATTGGATCGCGACCCCTGTGCCCGTGTGCATGTCTAAACCCTGTGCCTCACCAGAGCGGGCGACCATAGAGCGCGGGCTGCCAGTGGGCGAGAGTGTGGTGCCCCTGGCGCGCCACTTCTCCTCCAAGGACCTCCATGCCTCCTCCTCCGCCTCCTCCCTGCTCTCAGGCCACTACTCCACCCCCACTGTACGTACCTGCTCCTTGACCTTCCATATTTTCTCAATTCCCCTCCCTCGCACAGCCCCGACTGTCTCTCGTTCCCGCTTTCCCCACTTTTCCCTTTTCCCTGTCATCAATCTGCCGTTTTTCTCTGCAATTTACCTCTCGCACACTCCTTCCTCTTCCCATCAGCACTTTTTCCTCTCCACCTTTGGATAACTCCCCACCCCCCAACGCCCATGACGATCAGAAGGTGCCGCACACGGACCCCAGCTCCTCCTCCTCCGCCGATCCACTGCTTGATTCACGGCTGGCTGCGGTGAGGCCAGCAGGGGGCAAGCCTGCGGCTGACAGTGCCAGCACCAAGGACCCCGAGTCGGCATCCTTGCTCAGAGCAGCAGACCCCAGCTCCGCTTCACTCAAATTCTCTGGCATCATTGCTGCTGGTGCTGCTGCTGGTTCATCTGCTGGCGGCAGTGCCAGGAAGCCCCAGCGGCCTCCTGCAGGGGGTGCTTCAGGTGCTTCATCAGGTGCTGCCTCTCCAGCAGCAGGTGTGGCAGCCAGGGTGGGGTTGGAAGCGAGCATCAAGTCAAGCTCAGCAGGCGATCTGCTTCCCCTGGGCCGGGAGAAGTCAAGGCAGGCCTCTGTCCCTGGCAGTCCCCTGTTGCTCTCTCGAGCCGCCTCTCCTCTTGTCACTGCCAGGCTGCCACCCATCAGCACCTCTGCTCACTCCACTCCACACCACCTTTCCACTGCTGTAGCTGCTGCTCCTGCTGGCAGTGCAACACCCACCCGCCCACTCTCGCCTCCCTCTCTCCTCTCTTCCGCTCTGGGTCTAAGCTCTGCAGCGATGGTGTCAACCCCACAGAGGTATTTCTGGGCCGGGCAGGGCACAACAGCTGTAGCTGCAGGTGCAAGAGAGCAGCAAGGAGGTACCCAGCAAGGGAGCAGTCATGCAGTTGGTATGTCTCCTACAGAATCCCCACTAATCTCAGGCCAAAGAGGAGCAGCAGGTTCTGGTTCCGATGGAACCATTTCCGGCAGCAGCAGCCATTGGTCTCAAACACTGCTGGAGTCCCGCTGGTCTCAGGCAGTCACATCTCGGCTGCGTGATGCCTCATCCAGCAGCACAATGGGCAGGCTGAGGGACATCCTAGGAAGCCCACATCCACACAGTAAAGATGACGGGGGTGCGGATACAGCGGGAAGGAGTGGAGGTGGCTTGACACAAGAGACTGCTCCGGATCTGGACAGTATATTTGAAAGCTTGCATGCACGGCGAGCTGCAGCACACACGGAAGATGATATTGATGATTTTGAAGATCAACATGGATTGCTACGTCCAGGAAGGGAGCAGCAAAGTAGACGAAAGTGAGCTATTTTCGTGTTGACGCCAAATAAGCAGACATGCAGTGTGTGTGGTCAAGTATGGGTGTTGTTAGTCGTAAGCTAAAACATGTACCAAACGCATCATGCAAGCCTCCGTTTCTGCATGTTATCTAAGTGTTGGTGGGTCTCACATATTTGTTCCCCAAATGCACTTCTATCACTTCAAGGTGATACGTGCATTTCTTTTGGAGAAACGCCGAGTGCAAATAAAATACCACTAGGTAAAGCAGTGTCGAGTACTGTGCTCATGTAAGGAAAATTCCTTTTCCTTACTTCGCGTCCCCGCTCAACGCGTACACCACTGTAGCACCACAGTCAGCACCGTTACCACTCGCAACCCTCGCATCGACAATCCTCCCGCCACCTTCGCACGTCGCACCCCGACCTCACGGCTCGGCGGGTAACCCGCGCTCCGGGCCTCCGCTTCGACATTTCCCCAAGCCTCAGTCCCAGGCCCGTCGCGTGACAACCACAGTCCATTACCGTTACCACTGTAGTTTCGCTATATATTCTTCGCTCATGCCTTCGCTCATTGTACTCTCAATTGCACTCGTAACAGCTCACAACGTGCGCTCAATTGCTCCCTTCCCCAAATTCCGCTTCTCGCAGCCTTGCGCTGGCTTTGAATCCGAGCCTTCAGGGAGGCATTTCGTAAGGACGTGTCTCAGTTCGCCTCTGGTCGGCTGTGATCTGGTCGGGGCTGATCTGATCGGGTTGCCTTAGTTTGAATAGCTCGCGCCGCCCGATCAGCTAAAATTTTCCTCGTATATTCTACGAGGTTACGTGGCAAGCATCCAAACATTTCCTGCCACTTTCGGGCCCACTTTGGCAACTGCGAACGCCTCGGCATGGAAATAGCGAGTTTAGTGTTTCCCTGTATTTTCGCGAAAACAGGGGCCCAGAAACGCTGCAGTTCCTGATTCGCGACGGCCGGGCATTCACGACGAATTCACGAGTTCATGCCGAACAATGTAACAATTCGCCAGCGTCGCTTAGTACCCCAATCAAATGCAATCAAGTGATCGTCGGTGATTGTGTGGGATTGTGTTTGATTGGGCTGTTTTACGCAGTTGATCGTGTTGGGGCGATCAGCTGATCGCGATCAAGTGATTGCCCCCGATTGCCTGAAATCGCCTCCATACCTTCTTGGAAGTTATTGATCGCGTCTGATCGAGGCAATCAAAGGCGAACTGAGACATGCCCTAAGGGCGCGTAACTTTTTCCATTTTAGTCAAATGTCCGGACGGAGCCCCCAAAACGTCCGAACGGAGCTCCGTCCGGACGGATGGGGATGTGGTTCGGACGATGAAGCGTCCGTACCACAATTGTGACACTTTTTTTTCAGTTTCGAAATTTGAAATTCGTGCGATACATGAATTGAAAATTTGCGGCTCGGTAATGTTTGAACTTTCCAACCACTTTGTCCTCTTGCTCGCGCTACTGTGAGTACAACACACAAACAAATTGAAAGTTGGAGTGGGAAATTTGATTCTGAAAAATGTGTCTCGCGCACCAATGACGTTGCAGGGGTTCCGGACGGTTCGAAATGCTGTCCGGACGGTGTGACTAGCGTACACAGGATGCTCAGCGACTGCACGCGAATTCGGTCTTCCCAAGCTCGATAGCCTGCCCAATTGCAAGTAGCACCAGCCAGTTGCACGCACGATACAAGCCCCTATTTTGATCGCAGCCGTTGAACAAACAGCTTATCACGCTGGCATCCGTCCGTTCGTGAGATATTTTGAAGAAGCTGGTTACATTTCTTCACCTGCCCACTACAGTCCCGATTTTGCCCGTGGCGAATGTTGGCGAGGAAGCGAAATAGGGTTGCTCACTAAACACCCAAATGACGGGAAAAGTTGTGGGAGTCAAACGCGCTTCCTGTGTAGAACGGACGATGAACTGACAGAAAAGTGTCAGACTTCGTACGGACGATCGCGACGTCGCGAGGGGTCTTGCGAACCTTTTGACGAATCCTAACGAATATAGTAACCCTACAAAAGTCCGGACGGGGCCTCCGTCCGGACGATGAAAAGCGAAAAAGTTAAAGGACACATCCAGAATTACCGTGTCGGCCCCAAAACTGTCACCACTTTCGTGTGATTGGTCGAGGGTTTTGAGTGGGTTTTTGACGCGATTGGTTCTCGATTTCCCCACCGAACCTGTCTCTGGGGTTTCCCGAACCTACATTTTTTTCGTTGACTTCGTTGTGTAATTCGGGGTGTGGCCTTTAAAGCTTTCGTATACATTTGAAAAAGGGAGGTTCAAAAGTTTTGAAATTTGAAATATTGGTAACCCAGAAACAGCTAGTTTCACTCGCTTCACAAGGGAGGTGATCTCCCCGTCACCCAGGGCTCACTGGTGATTCAAAACTTTTGGAATAACAAAAGTATACGAAATCCAGTCCATGTGAGATCTACGCCACTACGCTCAACAGGCAGCATAAATCGTAGCAAAGCACATCGCGACAACAGCCAGCGCAAATCACTCCCGTTTCCGACACAAACTTAGACGCGTGGGGCAGTTTAGTGTAATTACACGTCCGAGCCAACGTCAGTTCCGCCCTCTAACACGGCGAGCCCGCCGGACCCCTTCTCACAGCCTCGCCTCGTCGTCCGTCGCGTTGCCTCACCACGCGGCCTCCTCACGCCACCATGAACGCGCACGCTGCGTCTCAAACTGCCGAACACGCACGATCACAGTCGCTTCCCGATCGCGCGACCTCGCTACCACGTTTCCGCAGTAGCGGCGGCAGCCGCAATTGAGGTGTCGCGAGGGTAATCAGAAACGATTGCTCCCCATTACCTCTTCCCGCCTCCCCGTTTCCCCTTCCCGCCTCCCCAATTCCCCTTCCCGACACCCCATTTCCTCTTCCCGCTCCCCACTACCCCTTCGCGCCTCCTCGTTTCCCCTTCCCGCTCCCCATTACCCCTTCCTGCCTCTGCAATTCCCCTTCCCGCCACCCCATTTCCTCTTCTCGCTCCCCATTATCCCTTCCCGCCTCCTCGTTTCCCCTTCCCGCTCCCCATTACCCTTTCCCGCCTCCCCAATTCCCCTTCCCGCTCCCCATTACCCCTTCCCGCCTCCCCAATTCCCCTTCCCGCTCCCCATTACCCCTTCTCGCCTCCCCAATTCCCCTTCCCGCTCCCCACTACCCCTTCCCTCCTCCCCGTGACCCCTTCCCGCTTCCCCATTACCCCTTCCCACTCCCCATTTCCCCTTCCCGCCTCCCCAATTCCCCTTCCCGCCTCCCCGCTTCCCCTTCCCACTCCCGATTATCCCTTCTCGCCTCCCTTCTCAAACTGCCGAACACACATCACAGTCGCCGCCCGATCGCACAGCCTCGCTACCACGTTTCCGCACTAGCCGCGGCAGCCGCACTCTCATTTCCCCCCTTGCAGACTCTCATTTTCCCCCTTGCTCACTCTCATTTCCCCCCCATGCTCTCCCTCATTCCTCCCCCCTTCTCCCTCTCATTCCCCCCATGAAGCCCCTCATCCCCCCCTTTCTCCCTCTCATCTCCCCCCCTGCTCCCTGTCATGTCCCCACATTCTCTCTCTCATGTCACCCCCTTCTCCCGCTCATTCCCCCCCATTCTCCCTCTCATTTCTTCCCCTTCCCCCTCTTATATCTCCCCCTACTCCCTCTCATTCCCCCCATGAAGCCCCTCATTCCCCCCCTTTCTCCCTCTCATCCTCCCCCCTGCTCACTGTTATGTCCCCCCTTCTCTCGCTCATGTACCCCCCTTCTTCCTCTCATTTCCCCCCCTTATCCCTCTCATTCTCCCCCCTGCTCCTTCTCATTCCCCCCTTAACCACTCAGTTAAATGCCACATAACCTCCCTCTCATTTCCCCGCATCCCCCCCCCCTTCCCCCTCTCGTTTCCCCCCATCTCCCTCTCCTTTCCCCACGTGCTCCTTCTCATTCCCCCCCCCTTCTCCATCTCGTTTCCCCCCCGCTCATTTCCCCCCATCTCCTTTCATTTTCCCCCCTTCTCCCTCTCATATGCTTCTAACCCCTACCGTACCCTTGGATGATCGCATGCCATACTCATCCATCCGCTGCCATACACCGCCACACCCTTCCATCTCCTCCCATACCCTTCCATACGCCAGCCAAGCCCGTCCCTCATTCTGCCATACCTTGCCATACTCTGCCATACCTTTCCTTCCCTAGCGTAAGTGTACCATTCCCTTCCATACCCCAGCCATACCCATCCATCCCCTGTCATACCCTTCCATTCCCTTCCATACCCTTCCATACCTTCCATTCCCTTCCATACCCTTCCATTCCCTTCCATACCCTTCCATTCCCTTCCATACCCTTCCATTCCCTTCCATACCCTTCCATACCTACCATTCCCTTCCATACCCCAGCCATACCCTTCCATACCCTTCCATTCCCTTCCATACACTTCCATTCCCTTCCATACACTTCCATTCCCTGCCATTCCCTTCCATTCCCTGCATTCGTGCACAGGCATATGACTAGTCACGTGATTGGTATCGAAGAATCCAGGGTTGGGTGATAAAGGTTATGTATTTAGTGATACAATTGTAAGGACTTTTTTTATAAAACATGTTGTGAGGCTACGAGCTTGATTTTGGTCCTGAAGTGCCAAAAATGTACTAGAGTTGGGAGTGTATGCATGCTTCTTGAATCACAAGTGCATAGTAATAAATACGCAGGGAGCTGCCGCACAAGTTGGCGGCTGCTGTTGTATGCCTGGCGTTGGTGTGCAGCAGAGGGGAGCGATGCATTGTGTGCTGCTTGGTGGACCTGCCGGTGAGAGGAGTGGGGGGGGTCAGGGCTGAGAAAGGGACGAGGAAGGGGAAAAAGAAGGCACATATCAGGGTGAGCTCAACCAAAGCCTGGAGAGAGTGCCCTTAGTCATCCAAGTGGCGTGAAAACGGTTGTCTAGGCAAGTCCCAAGGCATGCGATGGGACGCGCACAGTACCTGAGAGGCGTGAACGATGGGACAAAACTTGAGATGAGTCGAGCTCGCTTGCACGCACCATCTGCCGCAACAGCCTCGCTACCTCCTCCTCCTCCCTCTCCCTCCGCCTCGCTTCCTCATCGAGCCTCACACCCTGCTCGCTCCCCAGTCCACTGCTGACATGGCTGCTTCGATAGTGTGCACCCAGCGTGAGAGACCCGGCATGCTGCATCTCCTGCGGCTTGCGCACTCATGAGCGCGCTCGGCTGTGAGACCGCAGCAGGGCTCACTCGCTCTTGGTTCTGCTGTTGCTGCCCATGCACCTGCCACTGTTCTTGCAAGATCATCCCAGCTCCAACTCCTCGTGGGAGCTGCTGCTACATTTGCTCCACAAATGCTAGGTCCAGTAGGAGCTCAATCCGCAGGAGCAGAAGTATGGTCAGAACCGGGGCAGTTGCAGAGTCACACGGGTTGGGGCCAACAGCCGGCGTCGGCAGTCCATAGTCAAAGGAGTGGGGCGAACAATCCTCCCCACTGGCTGCTCCTCGCCTCATGTCTCCTCCTCCTCCACCATGCCTTCCCCTCCTTTCCTGAGCTACCTCCTGCTCCGGGGGGAACACCAAAGGAAGGAACACTGGGTGTGGCAGCAGAGGCAGCTCCGGCAAAGGCAGCAGCGGCGGCAGTATGGGCAGGGACTGAAGGAGCGAGTGGGATCTCATGGGAGGTGAGATGACCCTGGAAGGAGGGGGGATGAGAAATTAAGGCATGGCGATGGGAGAGCGTGGAACGGAGAATGGAAGGGAGCGAGTGGGGGGCAGTATTTTGCAAGGGATCCACCCTGTAAGGGAGGGAAGATGAAAAGGACGGGAGGGCAGTGGGGCTATGCCAGAGCTGGGAGGGAAATGAAGGGGAGCAAGGTGGGAAAAATAAGGGGAGAAGGGGGGGAAATGACGGGGAGCAAGGTGGGGAAAATAAGGGTTTAGGTTGGGAAATGAAGGGGTGAAGGAGGGAAATGAGAGGGAAGCGGGGAAGCGAGAGTGAGCAAGGGTGGAAGTGAGAGGCGGCAAGGGGGGAAATGAGAGGGAGGAGGGGGAGAGATGAGAGGAGCAAGGGGGGAAATGAGAGGGAGGAGGGGGAGAGATGAGAGGCGGCAAGGGGGGAAATGAGAGGGAGGAGGGGGAGAGATGAGAGGCGGCAAAGGGGGAAATGAGAGGGAGGAGGGGGAGAGATGAGAGGAGCAAGGGGGGAAATGAGAGGGAGGAGGGGGAGAGATGAGAGGAGCAAGGGGGGAAATGAGAGGGAGGAGGGGGAGAGATGAGAGGAGCAAGGGGGGAAATGAGAGGGAGGAGGGGGAGAGATGAGAGGAGCAAGGGGGGAAATGAGAGGGAGGAGGGGGGGAGATGAGAGGAGTAAGGGGGGAAATGAGAGGGAGGAGGAGGGGAAATGAAGGGGAGCAGTGGGGGAAGTGAGAAGGAGCAGGAGGGGAAATGAGGGGGAGCAGTGGGGGAAGTGAGAAGGAGCAGGAGGGGAAATGAAGGGGAGCAGTGGGGGAAGTGAGAAGGAGCAGGAGGGGAAATGAGGGGGAGCAGTGGGGGAAGTGAGAAGGAGCAGGAGGGGAAATGAGGGGGAGCAGTGGGGGAAGTGAGAAGGAGCAGGAGGGGAAATGAGGGGGAGCAGTGGGGGAAGTGAGAGGGAGAAGGGGGGGAAATGAGGGCGAGAAGGGGGGGGGGTTGAGGGAGAAAAGGGGGGGAATGAGGGGGAAGAATGGGGGGAATGAGGAGGAGAAGGCTGGGAAATGAGGGGAAGAATGGGGGGAATGAGGGGGAGAAGGGTTAGAACTGAGAGGGAGAAGGGGGGAAAATGAGGGAGAGAAGGGGGGAAAATGAGGGAGAGAAGGGGGGAAAAATAGGGGGAGAAGGGGGGGAAATGAGGGGGAGAAGGGAGGCAAGTGGAGAGGGAGTAGGGGGGGTTGTGAGGGGGAGAAGGGGGGAGGGGGGGTAATTAGAAGAGGATGCGCTTAGCGGGAGAGGCGCTATGCGGGCGCTAAGCGGGAAAGGCGCGCAGCGGGTGCGGCGCTAAGCGGGAGAGGGTGAGGCGACACGCGGGAAAGGCGCACAGGGGGTGAGGCGCGAAATGAGAGAGGCGCGCAGCGAGTGATTCGTTGCGCGGGAGAGGCGCGCAGCGGTTGCGGAGCTAAGCGGGAGAGGCGCGCAGCGGGTCAGGCGCTAAGCGGGAAAGGCGCGCGGCGAGTGATACGCTAAGCGGCATGGCGCGCAGAGGGTGAGGCGCTAAGCGGGAGAGCTCCCAGCATTGGAGGCGGTAAGCGGGAGACCCGCGCAGTGGGTGAGGCGCTAAGCGGGAAATGCCTACCGAGCGGGTGTTGAGAGTGGCGGCGTGGCCAACGCATGGAACGATGCGATCCCGCCGTCGGCTCCGTAATTTTCAATCGGCTTACTCGATCGCACCTACCCAGCGTGGTGATGCAACCCGTCGAGGCGCCCTTGACAGGGCTTCGACGGGGCCCATCAATGCAGCACGACGCGCTCGACGAATGCAGAGCCTTTCCCTCTCCGATTGCCGCTGAACGGCGCAGCAGTGGAAAGGAGCTGGCGTGCAAGCTAGATGTATTTTCCCACTCGCACAAGCCTATAATGTTACCTAAACTCATCTCACATGAGAATATCTGAGCGGTGTCGATGCTCCGCATGTTCTTTGTCGCGCCCCGGTTCCTCTATCTATGCTTAGCGTATGTTAGTCACATATCATGGTTCCTAGTGAAATCTGACTCCAAGGTTGGGTGACGGGGGAGTTTCCTGTGTTTGGAACTCCTCAAAGCTGCAATTTTTCGCCAAACCTCTCGCCACGCTCAGTTGTTTCGTTCTGGCGAATTTTTCCCTGGCTACAGTGCAAGTCCAAACAGTACTTGCAAATGTATACGAACCTAAACCGACCAGACGCCACGGAATCCCAGCGATGTGTCAGTGATTTTTTGGGGAACATTTCCGCAAGCCCGTGACTTTATCAGCCAACGGTCATTCTCGACGGGTGTGGCGACGATAAGCTTTCGCCAAAGAGCATGGCACTACATATTGGGGGTGTTCTGTTTACAACGAAACAACTTGTTTCGCCGTAGATTTCGTGAGCAGCGGAGTCGCTCCGCCACTCAGCGAACCCAACACGCGCTTGCGGCCAAACAAGCGCTGCGCTTGGTTTGGGCCGCAAGCAGAAAACCACCATCCCCGCTGCCGCCGCAGAACCAACCTCGGGATTGACTGGCATGGCTCTGGCTTGGGCTGAACCTGCAGTTGATCAGACCAACACACCATGAACCACCACACAATTGAACCTTGAATAGTCCGTGCCAACCTGGCTCAACCGCTCCAACTTCTCTCCAAACTCAACCAAATTCACGAGACATTACCCTAAGGAATGCCTAGGAGCCATTTTCAACACCACAACCTTCTCCCAGCCCGCTCTCCACTTCCTTCCCCCAGGCATACAGTATTCCGTCTCGCAAGCTCCAAGTCATTCCTAGTTTTCCCTAGCAGTTAGCGTTCAGGAAAAGCAGATCGACGCGTCATTTCCAATCGTTCGCCAGTTCATGATTGAGCTCCGACGTTTGTTTTCCACATGAATGTTTAGACATCGCCAGTTAGCTGAGTTATATATGACCAAACAACGGCAAGCCGACAGTTAGCATCGAACCAACAGCGATTTCTCCTTTAGCATTCAGCATGGTTTCTTCCGGAGTTTTGGCGTAGCAGCAACTTTGGTGGCCAGCAGCTATTTTGATCTTGGTTTGCAAATTCCTCTATCTTCTAAATTTCGGCCGTAAGCTGAGCGATTTTGTCCGTCCGCAACGATTTCGACCATTTGCAGCGGTTCTATCCGTCAGCAACCTTTTAGCTGTCAACCGTCAGCCGTCGTCAGAACCAACGCTTTCGCCTTCAGCAAGATGACATTCGTCGTCAGAAGAGACGATTTTAACGTTTTTGAATTGTCGAACGAATCTCGTCGTCAACAGAAGAATCTCGCTGTCCAAATCAACGATTTCACCGTGTCAACCTCTTCGGTACGTTTCGACGTTCGCGTTCAAGTTCCGTTATCCGTCTGTTTCCTTCATTATGGGTTTGCTCGTTGAACTGCCGTCGCGACTCTCTCTGAGCTTACTAGCATGTCATTCTTTCCATGCAGGAAGCACTATCTTACCGTGATGCTGTGGTCCGCGCACAACCATGGCATTTCGCCATCCGTTTCGCCATCAACCATGGATTCGCCATTCGTTCGCCATCAAGCATGGCGATTCGCCATTCGTTTCGCCATCAAAGATGGCGAGTCGCCATCCGCTCACCACCAAGCATGGCGACGCCATCTCAGTGGAAAAGGTAAGCTCTCTTCTCTCACTTCAAGCTCTCGTTGATCTTTCCATTTCAGTTACTTTCCCGCACCAATCCATCTTTGCTCCCACCCACCATGGCTTTCATCACCCCATGCCTGTCACTGGCTCATCAATTTTGGGGATCGATTATATGGCACGTCGTTTCGCGAGCTACT